TGTGACAGTACCACACACTGGTGTCTGTGCTCATTTGAGGTGTCTTACACTGCACATCTCAATTAGCATGTGTCAGTCAGATCAGCAGTTATTATAAGAAATATTCTGGTTTAGTTGGTAATAAAGAATAGTATACTACCCACAAAGGAAGAAAGCCCCTTTAAAGTTTTAAAGTAATTAGCCCATCTTCATCTTTGAGAATTAAAGAAGCTCTTGAGTGATACAAATATTTTAATTTGTTTGACTTACGCTTCGAGCTCTTACATATTAAAAATACTTTATCTTATCAACACTGGAAATTTGGAAACCAAAGCTTATGGCTGCAATTAGGGCATACAGGAAACTTAGAGAAGGGGATACAGAGAAGAGACAGTGGGTTAAAGTGAGTAACTTCAACATTTTTAATATGCATCTTCTATTGCATGGGCTCTTAATTAAATAAATAATTAGAACCAATAGTGTTCCATACCATTTAAAGTAGATTCTTTTCCACAGGCTACAGCAAAATTTAATAGTTGAAAAGCAAGAAATATTTCTCTCAACAATGAAAAAAAAAATCTACTGCAAATCTTACACCAGTGTCATTTCCAAAAATAAGTAAAAAACCAGCAGTAGTTCATGTTTGTTACTAAAGCAAGCAGACACACTACACAGGAGAGAACTGCTGGGTTAGTGCATTTCATTTTTACACAGTAGTATCTTTTAATAGAGCCATGCCTCAAATTTATGAAGTTCAAATAATATGGAAGGGTTTATTTGAGGTTGTTTCGGGGTTTTTTAAAGCAAAAAATAATTCTGGTGGACAAGGGTAAACTTCCAGACCTAAGTTTAGCAACAGTTTTTAAACTCCTAATTTTTTTTAAAAAGTGAGACTACCTAATTTTATTAAATAAAACAATACTACTGGCAACTGCAGTATCTTTCCTTCTAACTTACAGAGATATTTCTAAATTGTCTACTCCCTGTTATTCATGGTTCAGATATTTATTTGGAATCTGGGGAACATGTGTTTCAGGAGAAGCAACGTTCATATTCAGCTGCAGAGAGAGCTAAGGAAGGAGGACAATCCTGACCTTATCTTACAGAAAGTGCTTAACCTGCTCAGCTGGTCTTCACATGGGCACAAATACAAAACCCAAAAAGAGAACAAACAACCCCATGTATAAGATTTTAGCAAAAAAACCCCAAAGGCATTCATGCTCTAATTCTTGATAAAGCACAAGAAAAAACACTTAACACAGATGCTTAAAAAAATTAAGGCATGAAAGCACACATAGCAACAAAAATCCCATCAATGGCTTCAGCCAGGCTAAAGTTACTATTGACACTTCTGTAGCAGAGCAAATCCATGAGTGATGGCAATCTTAAAAAAGGAAATACATACATACATATATAAATGTATAAATATATATATATATAAATATACACACATGCACACACAAATTTAATGGATTTTCCCATGAACTGAAAGCTACACATGAACTCAAGTACTTTGCAGGTGTTGGACTTAAGCTGTGATTAATTTCCTACTGAAATCTGTAAGATACTTATTATCGACTTCACAGCTTCAGTATCCCACTTTTTATAAATATATATATATATAAAGGAACATCTGAGTGTGCTCCTCAGAGCTGATGGCACTGCACAGATTATATTTTCTGTTTACCCTTTGAAATAAAATGTAATTAAAAAGCCTATCTATAAAATTGTAATGAATAATATTTTCTTTGTTTCACTCCTGTCTTTTACCATCTAAGATCTCCTCACACATCATCATTCCATTTCCAGATCTGTTCTACTGTACTTTGATATGATTGCATACAAATCTTTGCAGACCCATGACCCAGCCTGGGCAGTGTTTCTTCAGACTCTATTTATTCATTTAGTGCCCACTGCTGAGGCACCTGTTCAGAGGGTTGCATTGCAAACAATCCTTGTTTGCATTGGTATGTTTGTTATAGAAAAATTGAAATTAAAGGGGAAATTTTCTATGGCTTCAGTAAGCTTTGGAATAAACACAATATCATTGTATAATAACTAATTAGATGCTTAAAATTCACTGTTAATTATTGAAGATTATATATTTGGGTTCTACTGCTGATGTAAATTTTTATTCATTTCTCTCATACCAAATACTGAATGCAGTTTTTTTCTTTAAATATTAATTTTTTTAAAATGTCTTAGTTTCTGCAAGGTGGAAAAATCTTGCAGTGCTTATTTTGAAGGCACTGCAATGTATGCCAATTTTTTTAAAGGCCAAGAGCAAATTTTATGTGTTTAAATTGTACTAAAATTTTAATTTAGGCCAGAGATGACTAAGAAAGGATTTCATCAAGCAAGGATTTTGTCAAGCAAGGATTTTGTCAAGCAGGGATTTCCAGTGTATCTTCCAATCAGAAGTACTAAACATGGAGTTTGCAGAGTGTTATCACAACTGTAGGTATTTTGTTTTATTTGCAATTGCTTGAGGAAGGAGATGTTTTCTTCATTAGCTTATTCATGCATTGCCATTCTTCTGTTATGGCTGTAATATGGTGTCATTCCAAGGATGATTATAAGGTCAATGTGAGCATTACTGAGAGAGACACACCATTTATAGTGATTAAAACCTTGTGGAAGAAATCAGAAGCGTTTCTTGAGCCCTCTAGTGTCTGAGATGGAGTCTCAAAGGGCTCAGGAAGGATCCTGCTTATTGACATTGATACCCTTGAGATTCTTACAGATCTTTTACAGTACTTTTCCTGTCACTCTACTGATCTACTAATGTACATATAGTGCATTATTCCTTGCAACCCAGCCGATACTTAGCACCTTTCACAGCTGACATTCTCAAAAAATACAAAATATTAGTTTAAAAAAAATGGGGGGAAAAAAGACTTTTTAAAGCATCTCTTTTCTGTTTACCATTTTTCATCAATAGAAATGATATGCAGAATTCCGTGGATATATCAACTCTGTTTAAAACTTTCAGGAATCCACCATTTCTGCATCACATTTAAAGGTCCTGAATGCTATAAAGCAACTCTACTGATACTGAAAAACCTGTGTCTGTCCTTCCATGCTTTCACATTGAGCCGCCCGGTTTGCAGAGGAAATGATATGTACCTCCAAGCTGAAAAAGAAACTAGCCAAAAATCACACACAACCTAAAGCACTGTGCTGCATGACTCCAGATTCCTTTAATGAACTGAACTCTTCCTTTTTGCTTCCCGAACCTCACACTGTAATGGACAATAACTATGACAACACCTTCTCAAAACATGAAAACTCATCAGCTGCCAGCTCACTGCTAATAAACCCATCCAAAACACCTTATTAAGTCATAACCCCTAAGTGTGTGAGCAAACAATGTGCAATCAGACTCGCAACACAAATATCTATAAAGTGAGATGAAGTATTAGGATTACTGCGGCTTTCTCTGAGCGAAGCCAAGCATATGGTGGTAAAATGGAGCATGAATTTACAGCAGTAGAGATGCACGATATAGATTAAAGCTTCATCTGTGAGAACATACTGCATGGGAAAAAAAAAAAAAAAAACAACAAAAAAAACACAACCTTTTTTTGTTTTCTGGTTTATGGCACGATGAGCACCAAATGCTGTTGCGTGGACCGAGGGCTCCCTCTGCTGCCAGCGGGGAAGGGAAAATGAACTAAAACCAAACCCTGCCTCCAAAGCCACTAAAAACGTGCTCCCGAAGTAGATTTTCAATTTATCAAGGACTAAACAGGCTATGTGAATGGATGAAAAGTTTTCAGGTAGGATGGACAGGCTCCTCTGATCCAATTAGAGCATGCAACGTGGAAAGAGTCAAAGAAAATTAGTTCCACTCCACCAATTCTGTCAAGCACTTGACACATTTTAAAACTAGACTAGAAATATTTGGTAATTTATCCTTATAGAAACCTCTGGTTTTAGGAAGTTGTGGATTATTGATCCTGGTAGAACAGGTTTTCGTGTTCAAGTTGTTGCTTTGGTTAAATTAAATCTCAAAGCACAAGTGAAAGACCTACAGCCTCTAATGAGAATATGTGAGTGACCAGCACTGAAAGCTGAAATTTGAGATGTCAAAGTTACTTATTTAACATGACTGCAGCTATTAAATGACTGTGACAACAATAGCTGCTTTGAGTTGCTATTAAGGTGACTTTGTACGCAGCCTGATCAAGGCCAGTACCTTTGTCACTTTTGTTTGGGTTTGGGGTTTTTGTGGGTTTGTTTTGTTGTTTTTATGGATTTTTTTGTTTGTTGGTTGGTTGGTTTTTTGTTTGTTTGTTTTGGTTTTTGTTGGGGGTGGGTTTTTTGGTGGGGTTTTGTTTGGTTTTGTGGGTTTGTTTGGTTTTGTGGGTTTGTTTGGTTTTGTTTTCTTTTGGGTTTTTTTGCTTGGGTTTTTTGTTTTTATTTGATTCCAGGGACAGGGCCATGGCTGAGGGGCAGGATGTCTTTCAGTCCCTGTTGCTGACTGGGATGCAGTGGGTACAGCACAGTGAGGTGCTTTTGGGGAGTCACCGCCGAGCAGAGCTTGGGGAAGGACGAATCCATATTGCCCCTGTGGGATGCTTGGCCAAATCCTGCCCCTCTTTCTGGATTTTAGAGGCAATCAGAGGGCCTGTGGCAGACCCAGAGCCACGAGTCCAAGGACAGCAGTGACGGTGTGGAATCACTGGTACCAATGGACACAGCAAACCCTTGGTGTTCTGGGAGCCTGGGAGCAGCTCCCTGGGATCACACACACAATGGACACACCCTGTATGCTCACACACAGGGCACTCATGGGTCTGACCCCATCCCATTCCAACTCCCACACCCTGTGTGCTCACACACAGGGCACTCATGGGTCTGACCCCATCCCATTCCAACTCCCACACCCTGTGTGCTCACACACAGGGNGAGATCAGAGCTGAGCACGGGGTGAGAGATGGGGGAGATCAGAGCTGGGCACGGCGTGAGAGATGGGGGAGATCAGAGCTGGGCACGGGGTGAGAGATGGGGGAGATCAGAGCTGGGCACGGGGTGAGAGATGGGGGAGATCAGAGCTGGGCACGGCGTGAGAGATGGGGGAGATCAGAGCTGAGCACGGGGTGAGATCAGAGCTGGGCATGGGGCGAGAGATCAGAGCTGGGCATGGGGCGAGAGATGGGGGAGATCAGAGCTGGGCACGGCGTGAGAGATGGGGGAGATCAGAGCTGAGCACGGGGTGAGATCAGAGCTGGGCATGGGGCGAGAGATGCGAGAGATCAGAGCTGGGACCGGGTGAGGCACCGCCCGTGCCCCCGCCCGGGCCGCTCTCGGCGGGTGCGGCGAACGCCCCTGGGAGGCTGGAGGGGAGCGGGGACAGGAGAGGCCTCTGGTGACTGAGGGGGCGCGGCCCGGCCGTGCCGGGGGCCTTGGCTACAATCGGCACTGCCCGGGACCCGCGGTCACCTCCCCTCAGCAGCCTTCCTGCCCTGGAAGGTTCCGCACACGAGCGGTCCCTCCCCCGACCTTGCTCCACACCACTCGCTACTCCATGGATTACCTTCCAGCCATCTCGGTTTTCAGAGCTGAAGAGTCACGGCATGGTTTAGGTTGGAAGGGACCCCTGGGGATCACCCAGTCCAACCCCACTGCCCAGGCAGGGTCACCCGGGGCAGGGGACACAGGAACTCATCCAGGTGGGTTTGGAATGTCTCCAGAGAGGGACACTCCACGCCCTCCCTGGGCAGCTCTTCCAGTGCTCTGCCACCTTCAAGGTGAAGAACTTTTTCTTCCTGTTGAGGTAGAACTTCTTGTGGTTTAGTTTATGTCCATTTCTCCTTGTCCTGTCGCTGGGCACCACTGGAAAGAGTCTGGCACCATCCTCTGACACCCCTGGGAGATCTTTGTATGGATTTATATGAACTGGCAGTTTTGTTGTCCCTGTGAAGGCTCTCCCAGACCTCTGAGCAGCCCTGTTCTTTTTCTGTACAGTTTCCCATCCTGCTTCCACCCTTTTAAGTGTTACCTGTAAAATCTGAGGTGCAGATTCTACATAAAATTCAGGTTTTTCCTCTTTGTTGCTTGTGTCTGAATAGTCATCACTAATAATGACTTGGAAGTTTGTCCCCTTTTATTTTTCATATGTATTAGTATTCAATGCAGGACCAACTCTTGCAGAACCTCCCCTCAATGACTTTTCATTGACTCCAGGAGTTAGACTTGATGATCCTTGTGGGTCCCTTCCAACTCAGAATATTCCATGATTCTGTGATTCTCTGATCTCAGCTGGGATTGGGTTTTCTTTTGTTTTGATAAATACAAAGCGTTAAATTTCATTTCAGTTAACTTACCTTAAGGGGTTTATAATGCTTTTGTCAGTTTTCTGGGCTTTGGGGAAGTTTATTAACCTACACCTAAGGGGAAGGCAGTCTGTGGATAGATCCAGGAGCAGCACTCATCCCACTGTTGGCATCGCTGCGTTGTGAGGAAAGCAGAGGGTGGCATTTTTATTTGCTGGGGCAGCAGATTCCCATTTCCAGGATCTCATCCACGGCCAGGCGGGTTCAGGCAGGTTTATGTTCCATGGATGCTGCTGGAATATTTAAATGGACTGTCCTGTGTGAAATGTTCCTGGACTGTGATATTTACTCCGCTCTCATTCCTTAGGAGCCTCCTGGTGATCCATCGCAACAGGAAGCAAAGCAGAGGTACCAATGAGACTATTGAATTTTGGTCTTGCATCTAATAATAATTTAATTTCTTTGGAAAACTCCCCCTCATTTGTTTTGTTGTTGGAAAAAACACCTTGGCTCTTCAAGGTTGGGAAGAGTTCGTGGTACAAATCTTGAAGGCTGGCACAGCTCCTCTTAAACCGCCGCTTTGTCCGAGTGACCACTTTGGGTTTGGCTCTGTTACTGCAGCAGGAACAGAGGAACAGCCTTTCCTAGCTGGTTTGGTTTTTCTGGGATAGCTACTGCAGTTAAAACTATGAAACAAAATGCTTTGTGTGGGAACAGTGTTTAGTATTTGTGCTCAGGGGAACACTGAAAACAAATGTTTGAAGAGCTGACTTGGCACACAGTCCAAGTTTGTATTGACTGAAATGCATAAACTAGAATTGCAGATGGTCAAATATTGCAAATATATGAAGACTTAGTGAAAAATGCCAAATACATAGTGAGGTTTGGGTTTGTCTTGCCATTGCAAGGACTATTCCTTGTGCCTGCTTTACCATACACTGCCTTGGGATGAATTCCACATGGAACTGAACACAGGATCCAAAGTGGGTAGTCTCTGAGATGTAATCATAAGCGGTAAGAAGGTGTAAGTATTAAATTCCATCTTGATTTCTTGGAAGACATTGCCAGCTGTGTAACTTCAGTGTACATAGAAGTGCCCCTGAGGGGAAAAGCTGTAAAAGAAATCATGTAACTATAAGGTTTGAAGTGACCTTCCATGAATCAAAAGCGTTCTGTAGTTTGCTGTTCTGTACATGTTATTTTAGGTATTTGAAATCCCACTTTTAATGTGGGGTCCATTTTCCCTTACAGGGAAGCAGAGATAAGAAATACTATTTTAGCCCAAGTTCTTGATCAAGCAGCCCGTGCAAGATGTGAGTATCCAAGTAACTTTCTAATCAAAATTTCTCACCTGGTGGGCTCCAGTGCTGCTCAAATCCAGCAGGTGCTTGTATGGAGGCCAGACTAGAAAAATACTGTTGTTGCTGAGAAGATAAAACTTGCAGCAATATCAGTGATTGGAGGGGAGGGTTTAACTGACATCTGAATAATGTTAATCAATTTTTTTTTTAATTAATAATAGGAATTTTAGGGAAAGTAAAAATTGGTTAACCTAATAATGAACAAATATTTTAAAGTAAGAAATGTAACTGCCTTGTGTCTGGCATAAGTGAAAATGCTTTTTTCAATTTATTTCATAACCCTGGCATGAAGGAGACGATTTCAAAGGGACATTTGTCACTTTTTAGTTACTTGGTGAAGGTATTTGAGAATGTTTTAAACCCAAATGAGCAGAGCCTGTTTTTGTTGCAGTAAGCAATTTAGCACTTGTGAAACCAGACAAAGCAAAAGCAGTAGAGAATTATCTTATACAGATGGCAAGATTTGGACAGCTAGCTGGAAAGGTGAGTATCTTTTCCCAGTTCTTTCTCACATATATTCATTTTCAAACCCAATTCACTCTAAAAAGAAAAAAGGATGTTTCTCATAGCTGTAAATTAAATAACTGAAAAGGCAGTTGAGAGCTTTTAAATATTATTATATAATTCCATCAAAAACCTTTCATAAGAAAGGAAATTGTGATTCCTTGTTTTTGGATACTAAGCATTTCTCAGAATGTGTTTGTACAGCTGGTCTTTCACTCTCCTAGGTATCAGAACAAGGTTTGATAGAAATACTTGAAAAAGTGAGTCAGCAAACAGAAAAGAAAACAACAGTGAAGGTAAGCTCTCTTTCCTAAATGTGATGTTGTTACAAAACAGCAAAAAAATAACAGATATTGGACCAGTTTGGTTCAGGGCAGAACTAATTTCCACCTCTCTGCCCTGCCCTGGTGAGTGCTGGGATGAAATCAGAGCAGGAACATCTGCAGCTGGGGTGTGACAGTGGCAGCCCCACTGGGAGAGGAGGGATGGGGGATGTTCTGCTCCAGGTAGTGCACTGTCAAATGCAGAGTGGGAAAGGCTCGTGCCAGCCTGGAATTACTGTGACCCCTCTATTTTCACCTTATCTGTTTCATTTTAGTTCAACAGAAGGAGAGTACTGGATTCTGATGAAGAGGACGATTACTGATACCACTGTAAGGCTGCCAAACAAACGCCTGGAGAAAGGCCACTTGCTGTTATCAGGCAGAACGCAAGACCTGAACATGTTTACGCTTCTTCACTTTTTTTTTTNAGATGGGGGAGATCAGAGCTGGGCACGGCGTGAGAGATGGGGGAGATCAGAGCTGAGCACGGGGTGAGATCAGAGCTGGGCATGGGGCGAGAGATGCGAGAGATCAGAGCTGGGACCGGGTGAGGCACCGCCCGTGCCCCCGCCCGGGCCGCTCTCGGCGGGTGCGGCGAACGCCCCTGGGAGGCTGGAGGGGAGCGGGGACAGGAGAGGCCTCTGGTGACTGAGGGGGCGCGGCCCGGCCGTGCCGGGGGCCTTGGCTACAATCGGCACTGCCCGGGACCCGCGGTCACCTCCCCTCAGCAGCCTTCCTGCCCTGGAAGGTTCCGCACACGAGCGGTCCCTCCCCCGACCTTGCTCCACACCACTCGCTACTCCATGGATTACCTTCCAGCCATCTCGGTTTTCAGAGCTGAAGAGTCACGGCATGGTTTAGGTTGGAAGGGACCCCTGGGGATCACCCAGTCCAACCCCACTGCCCAGGCAGGGTCACCTGGGGCAGGGGACACAGGAACTCATCCAGGTGGGTTTGGAATGTCTCCAGAGAGGGACACTCCATGCCCTCCCTGGGCAGCTCTTCCAGTGCTCTGCCACCTTCAAGGTGAAGAACTTTTTCTTCCTGTTGAGGTAGAACTTCTTGTGGTTTAGTTTATGTCCATTTCTCCTTGTCCTGTCGCTGGGCACCACTGGAAAGAGTCTGGCACCATCCTCTGACACCCCTGGGAGATCTTTGTATGGATTTATATGAACTGGCAGTTTTGTTGTCCCTGTGAAGGCTCTCCCAGACCTCTGAGCAGCCCTGTTCTTTTTCTGTACAGTTTCCCATCCTGCTTCCACCCTTTTAAGTGTTACCTGTAAAATCTGAGGTGCAGATTCTACATAAAATTCAGGTTTTTCCTCTTTGTTGCTTGTGTCTGAATAGTCATCACTAATAATGACTTGGAAGTTTGTCCCCTTTTATTTTTCATATGTATTAGTATTCAATGCAGGACCAACTCTTGCAGAACCTCCCCTCAATGACTTTTCATTGACTCCAGGAGTTAGACTTGATGATCCTTGTGGGTCCCTTCCAACTCAGAATATTCCATGATTCTGTGATTCTCTGATCTCAGCTGGGATTGGGTTTTCTTTTGTTTTGATAAATACAAAGCGTTAAATTTCATTTCAGTTAACTTACCTTAAGGGGTTTATAATGCTTTTGTCAGTTTTCTGGGCTTTGGGGAAGTTTATTAACCTACACCTAAGGGGAAGGCAGTCTGTGGATAGATCCAGGAGCAGCACTCATCCCACTGTTGGCATCGCTGCGTTGTGAGGAAAGCAGAGGGTGGCATTTTTATTTGCTGGGGCAGCAGATTCCCATTTCCAGGATCTCATCCACGGCCAGGCGGGTTCAGGCAGGTTTATGTTCCATGGATGCTGCTGGAATATTTAAATGGACTGTCCTGTGTGAAATGTTCCTGGACTGTGATATTTACTCCGCTCTCATTCCTTAGGAGCCTCCTGGTGATCCATCGCAACAGGAAGCAAAGCAGAGGTACCAATGAGACTATTGAATTTTGGTCTTGCATCTAATAATAATTTAATTTCTTTGGAAAACTCCCCCTCATTTGTTTTGTTGTTGGAAAAAACACCTTGGCTCTTCAAGGTTGGGAAGAGTTCGTGGTACAAATCTTGAAGGCTGGCACAGCTCCTCTTAAACCGCCGCTTTGTCCGAGTGACCACTTTGGGTTTGGCTCTGTTACTGCAGCAGGAACAGAGGAACAGCCTTTCCTAGCTGGTTTGGTTTTTCTGGGATAGCTACTGCAGTTAAAACTATGAAACAAAATGCTTTGTGTGGGAACAGTGTTTAGTATTTGTGCTCAGGGGAACACTGAAAACAAATGTTTGAAGAGCTGACTTGGCACACAGTCCAAGTTTGTATTGACTGAAATGCATAAACTAGAATTGCAGATGGTCAAATATTGCAAATATATGAAGACTTAGTGAAAAATGCCAAATACATAGTGAGGTTTGGGTTTGTCTTGCCATTGCAAGGACTATTCCTTGTGCCTGCTTTACCATACACTGCCTTGGGATGAATTCCACATGGAACTGAACACAGGATCCAAAGTGGGTAGTCTCTGAGATGTAATCATAAGCAGTAAGAAGGTGTAAGTATTAAATTCCATCTTGATTTCTTGGAAGACATTGCCAGCTGTGTAACTTCAGTGTACATAGAAGTGCCCCTGAGGGGAAAAGCTGTAAAAGAAATCATGTAACTATAAGGTTTGAAGTGACCTTCCATGAATCAAAAGCGTTCTGTAGTTTGCTGTTCTGTACATGTTATTTTAGGTATTTGAAATCCCACTTTTAATGTGGGGTCCATTTTCCCTTACAGGGAAGCAGAGATAAGAAATACTATTTTAGCCCAAGTTCTTGATCAAGCAGCCCGTGCAAGATGTGAGTATCCAAGTAACTTTCTAATCAAAATTTCTCACCTGGTGGGCTCCAGTGCTGCTCAAATCCAGCAGGTGCTTGTATGGAGGCCAGACTAGAAAAATACTGTTGTTGCTGAGAAGATAAAACTTGCAGCAATATCAGTGATTGGAGGGGAGGGTTTAACTGACATCTGAATAATGTTAATCAATTTTTTTTTTAATTAATAATAGGAATTTTAGGGAAAGTAAAAATTGGTTAACCTAATAATGAACAAATATTTTAAAGTAAGAAATGTAACTGCCTTGTGTCTGGCATAAGTGAAAATGCTTTTTTCAATTTATTTCATAACCCTGGCATGAAGGAGACGATTTCAAAGGGACATTTGTCACTTTTTAGTTACTTGGTGAAGGTATTTGAGAATGTTTTAAACCCAAATGAGCAGAGCCTGTTTTTGTTGCAGTAAGCAATTTAGCACTTGTGAAACCAGACAAAGCAAAAGCAGTAGAGAATTATCTTATACAGATGGCAAGATTTGGACAGCTAGCTGGAAAGGTGAGTATCTTTTCCCAGTTCTTTCTCACATATATTCATTTTCAAACCCAATTCACTCTAAAAAGAAAAAAGGATGTTTCTCATAGCTGTAAATTAAATAACTGAAAAGGCAGTTGAGAGCTTTTAAATATTATTATATAATTCCATCAAAAACCTTTCATAAGAAAGGAAATTGTGATTCCTTGTTTTTGGATACTAAGCATTTCTCAGAATGTGTTTGTACAGCTGGTCTTTCACTCTCCTAGGTATCAGAACAAGGTTTGATAGAAATACTTGAAAAAGTGAGTCAGCAAACAGAAAAGAAAACAACAGTGAAGGTAAGCTCTCTTTCCTAAATGTGATGTTGTTACAAAACAGCAAAAAAATAACAGATATTGGACCAGTTTGGTTCAGGGCAGAACTAATTTCCACCTCTCTGCCCTGCCCTGGTGAGTGCTGGGATGAAATCAGAGCAGGAACATCTGCAGCTGGGGTGTGACAGTGGCAGCCCCACTGGGAGAGGAGGGATGGGGGATGTTCTGCTCCAGGTAGTGCACTGTCAAATGCAGAGTGGGAAAGGCTCGTGCCAGCCTGGAATTACTGTGACCCCTCTATTTTCACCTTATCTGTTTCATTTTAGTTCAACAGAAGGAGAGTACTGGATTCTGATGAAGAGGACGATTACTGATACCACTGTCAGGCTGCCAAACAAACGCCTGGAGAAAGGCCACTTGCTGTTATCAGGCAGAACGCAAGACCTGAACATGTTTACGCTTCTTCACTTTTTTTTTTATTATTATTATTATTATTGTTCTAAAAGGCCAACAAATGAACTTGTAAAATAAATTTGAGAAGGGGGATTTTATAACTTAAATTTTTGTAGTCTCAGAGTCCCGAGCAGTGCGAGGTTCCCCACGGCTTCATGAGCATGAACGTTTTGTTGCCCCTTACTCAGTGTGTAAGCTCTGCTTTCAGCCACTGCACACACTTAACTTGCTGCTGGTGGAGATACCAAACATAGCAGGAGCCAAGTGAGAAGCTGGGAACAGCCACTCTCCAGGAGTTTAAAATCTTGCCTCCAAGTCCCAGAAGTGTTAGAAAGGAGATTTCCTGAGCCCCTGAAGGACCCCTGTCGAGCCATCCAATGGCTCTCAACTCCTTAGTAGAAATTTAAAAATAAAGTGAAGGCATCAAATAGTGTTTGGATCAGGGGACTCCATATCAGGCAGTCTGTGTAAAGAAATGGTAACAGCAAACAGCTGAACCACTGCTCTGTGAAGTTATTGGGCTATCTCCAAAAAAGCAAGTTAACTGTGTAACAGCACTGTTCAGACACTTGGTATCGTATATTCTTAAAACTACCTCCACTTTTATCAAATGGCTGGAGTGTTTCTTACTGGAAAAAAAAAAAAAAAGACCATTTTCCTAAACTTTCTGCAACTCCTGCATGCATAAATTAAAACTGAACTTGTGCTACACCTTTATTCAAAAATATGGTTATGGAAGTTAGTAGGATAAATACTGTAATGTGTTGATAAACACTCTACCACCACAGACCCCTTATCTGATCATGTATGATTCCACCTGCAGTGTTTTTTGGAACAGAATAAAATTATTTCAAGTGAGCACTAGTGGGTGTTTTTCATCTTATGCGAATGTGGTTAAAAAAGTATTAAGCAGTTGTTATTTTTTTTTCATTTGGACTAGATCTGGAATTTTTCTTGAATATCGAGGTTATTCTTACAGGTAAGGACAAGTGTCTTACTCTGGGTCATCTACAGTGTCACAAGAGGGAAGAAAACCTGGTTTGTCTCTTTCCTTTCGGGTCTTTTGGCTTGTAAGAGCTGAACATCCATCCATTTTTTTTTTTTTATGTGAATGTAGAGCTGGAAAAGGAGGTTATGTGAAAATGTTCAATCTCACTAACAATTATATTTTGTACACCTCTGTGCCTTAAATCCAAAACCACACAACCTAATAATCTGTGAATGTGGGAGGGAAGAAAATCATATTGAACTGAAGAGTAAATTCCAGGAGATCCTTTAATTTACAACTGGATATAAGGTGAAGTCTTCAAATGCCTAAAAAAAACCAAGCAAGGAAATCTGCACAACAGATCAATGCTTGGACAAAAGGATTCAAAGAAAACAGCATTTTTCAAGAGTTATTTTACTAGTTTTTGCTTTCTATCATTTGGCACAAATCCAAGGCACATCAGAAAATCATATGAACTCATAAATTATTAGAAAAATAAACACATTACCATCAAATCCAAATGTCATTTGACATTTTAACTCTTAGATTAAAAAGTTATTTGAAAAACCCATCAGTCTGTCTTCCAGCTTTGTACTTTGCCAGGCAGGTTACTAATACCACAGTTAAAAGAAAATTATCCATACAAATAGTTTGGAAATAGAAATAAAAGGCAAGCTGGGTGTGATGAGCCAAGAATAAAAAATCCTGCACTGTCAAACCTGGCTTGTGCTATTTACACATAACTGAACAGTGGAAAATGAAGCTGAAATCTAAGCAGCCACCTCATAGTTCCCTGTGATCTTTCAGAGATCACCCCAGGGAATGGGGTGGGATTTGGCCTATTCCAACCAAAGCTCACTGATGAGAGAAGTACCTTTCATATGGGAATGTCACCTTTTTAAGAGCAGTCCAGAGCAGGCTCCTAAGCAGTTCTGTCTGCAGATGTTGCCCAGGTTCAGAATCATGAACAGTGGTGCATTTTGGCATTGCTTGCTTTAGAGGAAGGGAAAACCCAACCATTTTGTGTGTCCCTACACGCTTCTGCATTGTTTTTTATTAGGCTGTGAACAGCCAAGTCCAAAGTTCAGCTTTGTCAAGGGCTCTCTACTTTTTCCCCAGTATTTTGGCTCCCGTGTAGGAACTTGATGCTGCAGCTCTAATACAGGGGAGCATTGCCAAGGAATCAGCAAGGATTGCATCCCTTCACATTAATAATGCAGTGCTGCAGATGTTATGCACTATTGTCTGCCCAGCTACTGAACTATACAGAAATATATACTATAATGGTTTGTAACATTACAATAAAAATAGAGACATTTCAGTTATCTCTGGCAATAAATACCTTGTTATCCAATATATCTTTTTATATATATATATAAATATATTCTCAATGTAGTGATAAAAACTGAAAAATGCAAAAATTATTCAAAGACTTTTAAAACAAAGTGGGTGGCTGAAAAATACAATACAGGGTTTCATTTGGTTTACTGTTACATAGAATTTTTTAATAAGTGCTAAGTAGGATAGGAAAGTAATTCTGCTGTCTACATCTTGGTATGTCCCTGTTTGTGAGATCAGTAATGATCTGGCTGTTAGTTACCTCCACCATAAACAGGAGTCAGTCTTCAAAGTGCTAAAACATTGAGTTTGTGCTGCAGAGCTGTCCTGTCCTCTGCTCTGAGCACAGGCCTGCGAGTGGCACTGACGTCTTTGACACACAGTGAAAGGTTAACAAAACTCACACCACCGAGTTCCTCAGCTTTTGGCCTCAAATTCAGTGATCTGAAATGGAGTCCTCACAGCAGTCTTGTGACTGTGAAACACCCAGACTTCCAGGGCTGGATGAACCGCTGTCACTGCCATCCTCTGCTGGAAGGGGCACGTTAACTGTGTGTCTCCGCTGCATTAACTTGCTCCTGTGAGGAACTTCCATCGTGTCATCGTGTTCCACAAACTCACCACTGCTTCCCGTGTCCACACCCTCAGCTGTGCTCTGGGCCAGCGTTCCCACAGACTTTAACTTGGTTTTATCAAAGCTTTTAATAGCCATCTGTGAGGAGAGAGGAAGGGGATGTTAAGAGCATTACCTACTTTCTTCATTACAAAGAAGTAAAATGAATAGGGTGTTATAATTATCACATCAATTGCATGGTATTCTTTATACTGAGAATGCAGCAAAGGATTACAAATGGCAGACTTTGTAGGAGAGTAATTATACTTTGGCCATATATGAAAAAATAAGAACAGGCCACATCAGTACCAGAACTGAAAACAGAACAGGCATTCCAAAGCTTATTTTCACTGCGGTATCCCAACATCATCCTAACTCTTCTAAACACCTTTGGTAATGCAAGTCTCAAGGTACCTGAAATTAACAGCCCTTTCTTTTACTATTAAGAAACATGGAAGTAGCAATACAGACACGGTCAACCAGGCACTGCTGAAATTAAAGGCAAAATTTCCCTGCTTCCAGTTGTTAACCGGTGAGGGAAGAGACACCCACCCTTCCCCCTCCTCCCTTAATGCCTCTTTTTGGTCATTCCAACTACTGTATCTTCCATTTCCACACCTGCTCCTGAGTTTTCCTTTACAGAGGGGGTGGCTCTCCTTGATTACTGGCACAACTGAGAGCTGTGTGGCTCGTGAATTCATTGTACAGCCACAGCTGTATGAACTCACCACAGCACATGGCTGAAGAGCTGTGTTTCATGGTCACATATTAGTTTTTTGACACCTGTGTAATGACATGACACACTGCATTCAGTGAGCCACAGTTATAAAATCTAAATCCCATGTTTAATTAAGTAGTGGAATATTATCATTAATACAAGAAGTAAAAAATATTACAGCTTTATAGCATTAATTTGGCGTTCTCGAGGCTCTCTGCAAATGTTCAGTCTGCTAGGGGCTCTATGAAATAGAACAGTATCCCATTTTCTAGATTGACATGAGCAGCAGAGTCTGCATTTCCAAGGCTGTGTCAATCTAATGATGGGCAGCTGCTGGACTAACCTGGTCAAACCTGCTTTGTTTTGGACAGGTTAGTTTTTCTCTTGATTTAAGTGTGCTGACATGGTTCAGCAGAAGGTGCAACAAGAGCCAAAGGCAGCGTAAGGAGGAAGAGGGAGCACATGCTCTGGGTGAAGGGCAGCATCCAGCAGTCAGGTTGGTGTGGGGTGCCACCACACCCCCCAGCAGAGGTGGATCTATCACATATATTTGTGTCACAGCTGACAGTGCAACATGCACTTTGCTGTCACCCTTGCAAGCAGTCTCCTCCTCTTACAAGCAGATTTATGCAAGCCCTGATTTTAATCTACTGAAAAATGTGTCTCTTGCCAAAAGCATCCCTGCTTGGCTACAGCTCCTACAACCTGCACGGTTTTTCAGTCCTAGGTTTTGCTGTAATGACACAGAAAACAAGAGATGAAGCCTGCAATAAGAGGCTTAGGAGGTTTAAAAGTAAGAATAAGGTGTTTAAGGGGTGTTATTGAAGAGCACCACTGAAGTTTGAACAACGATGAACCAGCAGCAATTTGCCAAACAGGTCAAGTGACTCAGCACCCATCACTAGTAAAGAAACTTTTCTCTTATGTGTACCCACAGTAACAGAAAACAAACATATTTGCTATATTATACAAATAATTCAAGCAAGTATTTCCACTTACCTGGTGCAGTAACTGATAGTCAAAATTAGGGACACTTTTATCTCTTGTTATTGTTCTCCGTAAATGTTTTTCTCTAAAGAAAATTTTAAAGAAATGAAAGAGATTAAATGTCTTTACATAAGCCTTTCATAAAAGCCTCTATCACAAAAGCTCCACAAGGTGGAACTCTCTCACCAGAGACAGGCTGCTCCCTTACACCACCTTCCCTGTATTTTACTACAGAATAAATATTAACATTAAAAAATACAATAGGCAAACCCCAACCAATGAGTGAACACTAACATTACATTTTTAAAGCTGTCTGGCTCTGAAACCCTTAAATGATGGTACACCAAGTATTAGTGCAAACCCAATTTTAAATACATTTTAAATACACTTGTAAGTGCTCCTTCAACTCCCAGTGAGCATTTCGTGCCCAGAACATCTGCCCTGGGGATGTGAACGTGCAAGCCTTGGGGGATTAACATCCACTCTCACACCAGCATGTGATGTGTAACCATGACTGGCCCTCTCTGGGCTTTATTAGCAGCTGTATTTCTTGTTCACGTATGGGAAACAACAAACATACTCTGAGGAAGCTCCTCTGCTTACTTGTTAAATCTGTTAATTGATTGGACCAGTTGAAGTTGTCTGCTTATGGGATCATCGGCTTTCTCACAGGGCTTAGAATGCACTGGGGGTTTAAAAGAACAGGCAGCTAAAATTACAACTGAGTCACGCTTAGGAATTAAAAAAAACACAGTTCTGAACAAAAAGTGGTCTCTTCTGACATTAATTTTAAATTTTACAGCAAAACTGTAACAGTACTAACTTGAATCAGAGTGGCAATTTGACTTTGGAAATTTTAAAGCATTTTAATTCGCAGAAGTAAACATTCTTCATCAGATTAGCATGACTGGCCAAGCTTCTGCAGAGACTGTGAAGTCTTACAAACCTGAATTAACACACAGATGCCAAACATATCTTCAATTGTTCTTTTAGAACTATTCTCATAATATTTGAAAGAACTATCTCAATTTTAGGCGTCAGCACACTGTGATTAACTGTGGCTTTCCATTAACCAGACATTCACAGTCTTTCCAAGGGTGGAATGCAAGAGTTATTTTGAAAACTCATGGACGCTGAAATGGGCACTCCTGCTCCTCATCTTCCTACTTCCTGCTCTGCAGCCTCCCTGCCTGGCTCAGCACAAAACTTGTTGTGTCCCTTGCCCCAGGTTAGTGAACTCTACCAGCTTCAAAATGCACCTGAAACACTTGTGAGCCAGCACAAGGGGAGCAGTGGATAACCCAGAGCAGAGGGTGAGAGGGGAGGAGGGATGGTAACACCTCTCTCCCGTGGCCATAAGGCACTGCAGCAGCTCAGCTGCACTGTCACTCTGTGCCACGTGTCTCTGCACACTGACTGAGGCTGTGCCACATCCTGCCACTGCTCAAAGTCCTCTGCAAACTGTGCTGAAAGGTTCAGACAGTTCCCTCTCTAGCTCTTATTTCTGTCCCAAAATATGAGAGACAGCAATGAATGAAGAGTCACTCCCTGACCTGTTTCAGGGCAAATTAAATGACAAAGTCATTTAAACCTGTTTTACTTTGCACTGAAATGCACAGTTAATACATGGTTAATTATATAATCTCAAATGTGGTGTGTTTTTTAACTTTAAATGCTTCTGTATGTCAAATTTGCACACATACCCCAAAAAAGTGAAAACTAAGTTTGCAGCAATGTCATGAATATAACACAAAGTCTGCTGCAGTTACAGTATTCTAGGTGCTACCTATCATAAATATGCAAAATAATTGACAGTTCTTTAATCATATGTAAATCAATTACATTAAATATTTGATGTATTTGCATATGAATTCCTAAATCCCTTTTTATTCATACCAGTGGAAATATGACAGGTACCTTTTTTCCTTATCTTGACAGCAGCATGCTGCTCACTCTCCTCTCCTTCTGCTGATGTGGGTACAGAGCTTGGTGCTGCTTCCAGCAACTTCATGATATTTGAGTTCTTCATTTTAAGAGTTTCCATATTTTTCACCATTATTAAAGAAAAACATCAGTACAATTTAGGATTTTAGTCTGTGCAGAGTGTGTCAATTAATTGCTGCCAAAATGAATGTAACACACATGAAAATATCTCATTATAAACATAAACCTGAAGTTGTATCATTTTGAGTAGGGGAAAAATCAGTGTTCCACCAGTTGCACTGTACCAGAGCGATGATTTAGTAGCCTTGACCTCTTGTTTTAAACTATATAATTTATGGTTAAGCTAATTTCAGTTCAAATGGTAATACACATATTAAAATTGATTCAGTACAGAACTTAGTGGTCATTATGCTACATCTCAGGCTTTTTAAGCATATAAAGAGAGGGACCATGCATCAAATCCCTTAAGGATGAAAAAATTCTGTATCATTTAATATTAGACAGAATGAGAATGTTATTGCTATTAATAAAGGGGAAGCTCACAGTTATCTATTGCAAGATAAAAGGTATGAAAAGGTTTGAAGGGCAGAGGGTGGTGGGTGGAAAAAGGAAGATTGCTGGCAGTGCAACTGATTAGTGAAATGTGTTCATTTGCCAGCATTTCTTCTGCTCTCTCTGCCATTACATAATTTAATGTCATTTTTATTTACATGTGTGCTTTCACTCTTTCTAGACTCATCCTTTTTGCCTAGGATAACTTATTTTAGGAACAGGTTTCATATAATCATTTGTACGTTGTACAATAAACAGGCATCTGAAGTCTTTGTACCGCACGTGATTGTTCAATACAGAAGCCTGGCAAACATTGTCCTGGCAAACACTTCTATTTGCTGCCTTTCCCACGTTGTGCACGGGGAGCTTTGGGAATGGAGGTGCCTGCACTCACGGGCTCAGCACAGTCTGCAGGGGTGCAGCTCCTGTCGTTCCTCAGGTGCGTCAGGGCCCCGTTCTGCAGGAGCAGATCCACCAGGGCCTCGTTCCTCCCCACCACGGCCTCGTGCAGGGCCGTGTTGCCCTTGGCATTGGAAAGGTTCACAGAGGCTCCACGCTGGATGGACAGCAAAATGAAATCCCACTTAAAAAGGCAGGGTAGCACGGACTGGAGATGGCACATTATTCTGTTTTCCTCTCCTTTCCCATGTAGGAACAAGGACAAGGCAGCAGAGTCCTCTGCAGTCACCATAAGCCATCTGATCATATTACTTCCTCCTCTCTCATAGCCACAATTTCCTGGATCAGCTCACTTCATTTTTGCATATATCTACTATACAGTCCAAGTTTAGGAGATACTTAAAACCCCCCCCAAAACCACAACAAAAACTCCTATGGGATAGAAACATAAGCCAGAAAACCCAACACCTGCCACATAAAAGTTCCATAAAAACAGCTAACTGTACAATAGTAAGGTAATATTTATGTAATTAAAATCTGTGAAGGGAAGGCATTGAAAAGAGTGAGTTAACAAACCCTCTTTCTTTTTTCTCTGATTAGTTTTGACGGAAAAAGGTCAAACTAAAAATACTGATCCTGAGTACTGTGTAAGCACAGTTACCACATGAGAAATACCACTCTGAACATTCTGTTTTCAGTGATCTTACCTGTAACAACAGGGCAGTAGTCTCATAGTGGCCATTCAAGCATGCATAAATTAAAGGAGTATTTCCATATATATCCTTTTTGTTTTGTTTAGCATTGTAATCCATCAGACACTTTACCACCTATGGAAAGAAAAAACTTTTTAATTTAAGATACCAGCTAACCACAATCATGCAGTGAAAGCCCCCCCTACTTTTTTGAACCATTTTTCTGGAAATCTAGATTGAGAAAGGGATGGAAGAAAAAAGGATGGAGAAAAAAAGTGTCACATTTGCCAAAGAGATGACAACCACAAACAACTCTTCCTATCAGATTAATTTTAACACACACTTTTAAAAAAACCCAAAACTTAAGCAACTTCAAGAAAGGCCAGAAAATAAAACTTGAGTTATGTGGAAAATATACATAACCAATAACTAACCCAAAGATCAAAACCAAACCACCACAGCAGCAGTACCCATCAGACTTTTCCCAACTCATAAGAACGCTTGGAAGGAGTTCTTTATGTTGTAAATATCCCATGAACTAACCTTCATTAACCTACAAGTGCGAGTTGTATTCTTGTTTTTTCTTGCTTCCCTAGTGCTTTTGTCTTCCCATCATCTTCACAGTTCTTTTTTCCTCCTGCAGTCCTGAGCTCCTTATTCTTATAACCCTAGTTTTCCACTTTTCTGCATCTTCCCATTTGCTTGTCTGCCCCTGCTTTTTCATGACTGTTATTCTTCCCCTCTCACTTACTCTTCCTCCTGTATTAAACCCCTACCCTCAGTGAGGGACGAGGTTATCTGCTACCCTCAGAGCTCAAATTGGCTCATAATCTACTCTAATGAGTTGAAAACACAGCAAATATTTAATACTGTGGCTACTGAAGATACCAAGAGGTGCACATAACCTCCTTGAAGAGAAGGTACAGAGGAACATACACAGGAAGATTCAGCTGCACAAGGCATTTTTAAAGTGTTTGAAGTATGAGAGTAGCTTTTGGCAGCACTTGCATTAAACCAGTATTTCAGATCATTTAGTAAGAAAAGGTGTCCACTGAAACAGTTTCAGCTGAAAGATCCCCTTTCCACCTGGAGATTTTAGATACTGAAAGAAAAAGCAACCCCAAACTAATTCTCTCTGTTACTGGTTTAGTCTTGTTGATAATTTCCCACAGCAGCTTTTTTGTTGGTGACTAAGCGTCAAACAGCTTTATTTAGAGGACGAGTTACCTGGAAGTGCCCTTTCTGGCAGGCCAGGTGAAGAGGAGCTGCGTGTTTTGCATTCTTGGCACTGACACTGGCCCCGTGTTTCAGCAGGAGCGAGACAAGCTCGGAGCGCCCGTGCAGCGCTGCCATGTGCAGCGGAGTAAAACCATCCTGGTTTGAAACGTTGACTCCCAGCCCATTGGCAGAGATCCTGGAAAATTTCTGTTGAGGAAAAGACACCACGGAACTATAAAAACAATCATGCTACTTTCTGTTAACCAAAGAGCAGCCAAATACCTGCTAAAGTTTATGCAAACCAGGGAGATGGATGTTACAAGAACTTCTGCTACAGAGCCTAACTTGAGGGACTCCAGGAAAAGTCAGCAAACCAGAGCAGTTGGGTGGTATTTTTGAACAGAACAATGTTATTGTTCTCTCTTTTCTTCCAATATGATAACTTCATAGACAGAAACTCCAGGAAAAGTATTCACGATATTAAAAAGAGACTAAAGCAGCACAGGTTGAGAAGAAGTAAAACTCACAGGTTTTTATACAGCTGTTAGGATGCTCATACTGGATATTAGTCAGTTTTAATGAGTTACTTTCATTTATACAGACATTTATGCTATTCAAGACAGACACTACACACCTGTTTTACTGCTACATGAAGCTTGAGGTAATAAGGATAAAAACTAAAATTAATTTTACTCATCCGGAAGCAATACTGGCCCAGAGAGCAGATTCCCACAGGGAGTCAAGATAAGGAAACTATCTACAAGACAGCTTACACAGCAGTACAGAACACCTTCTTTCACTCCTCTCACAAACTGTGGGTGCCTGACATTACAGTGCTGGACAGTCATTCTGCCTGTCCTCAGTGTGCTTTTCAGTGTGTGCTGCCTAACACAGGGGGTTAAGATTAGTTAACAAGTTCCTTCTTCTCATTCAGCAGGCAAGTAAATTGCACAGCAGATGCCATTCCTTCCCCTGTTAGCAATAAGATGAGCTTTATGGTCTCAAGCTCTGGCATCTTTAGCACATGATCTCTGTACTGAGGGCACATGGACACCCGTTACCAGAGACTAAAGCACAGTGTGAATGTGAAGCACGTAATTGGTTTTCTATTTCCAAGAAACTGGGATCATTCCTTGTGTAAAAAAAAAAAGAAAAGACAAGAGTGTATTGTAAAGCCTGATTCTCTTCTACAGTCCATGATAAATAAGAGGGAAGGAAGTCTTTGCAACTGAAAACAAAGTCTTTGTAATTATATTTAATCTCTGAAGAGGTTTTAGATGTAGCCTGTAGGAAAGATGTCATGCAATTAAAAAAAGACTTTATCAGCATTACATTGATTACAGGATTAGCAGGTATTCCTTGCTAAACTGATTACTAAGGTAAGTAGTGTGACAGTTAGCAATGTAAACTACAAAAAAGAACCAGAGGCTTAGAAAAGTATTATTATTCAAAGTTGCCTACATATTCTAAAAGCAAACTGTTAAGCTTTCTCACTCCATTAGGTACTGAGCAACTCTTTAAATACTGTTCCTGTATCCAAAATTTTCAACAGTGCAATTGTAAAAAGGAACAATTTCATGACAACAGATGAACTGTGAAGATCTGTATATAGCTAGTTCCTTTTTAAACAGAGATACAGAGGTGCTGGGCCATAGGAATGCTACTTCCCTGAAGCTAAAACTTACATTAAAAGAATATAAATTCATCTTTTTACTGAATGAATATTCCAACCTTTTGTGCTGGCCCACATTTTGAGCACTGGCATAATGGATGGCAGAATTCTGGTTTTGATGTACTGACTGTGTCATCCTCATCTTCCAAGTCTTCTTCCACCCATTCCAAGAGATAACGTACCTGGCAAAAAAAGCAAGTCCTTCTTTATAGAGTCCAAAGATTCCATGTCCTAATAAATCTGCATATGTAGACAAGTAAGATTTCACAAACATACACTTGTGAATCTCTCAGGGAGATATACAGCCACCTCCTGGCATCAGCTGCCCACAGGCCAAATTAAATCAAATGTTACTGTTGACAAAGCAGTTAGAAAGTTCTCCAAGTACAGCAGTGAAGTGAATTATAAATGACTTCCTGCTGCCTAATCACAATTTTGGTGTTCACCCATTCTCAAACCCTCCAAATCCTTTTAGCTCAGATGATTTGTGCCATCTCATATCCATGTGAATTTTGTTTCATCTTTTGCTTTAAAGAACATAAGAAACAACAAGGACAATGACATTTAACTGACACCCAAAACTTTGCAGGGGCATTAACATTTCTTAGGTCTGTGAATTCCCAGGAGCTGGACACTTTTTCCTCCATGTACGATGTGTCATGGTTTGAGATAGCCTCAAAATCCAATCCCCTAGTCTAAGCCCCCTCCCACCTCACGTTTGAGGGAGAGGCCCTTCAGTGAAGACAGTCTCAGGACTCAGTGCATTCACGTCCAATTTGCAAACAGTGATGATTACTGCATGTTAATTTTACATTACATTTTAGGCAACAACAAAAAAAGCTGTTTATGAAATACATTTTTACCTTGAAATGCATTAATCCACTGTTCACTAAAGACATCTCAGAATTAGCAGTGACTGTATTAAGTCTCCATTATTACACCACCCAGCAACGTTAAGCCTGACACCTACCCGGTGTATCATTCTGAGTTTGTAAGCTCAGTGGGACAAATGTTTCAGGAACTCAAGACAGAAAGTGGGAATTAAATTGGTCTCATAATGCAATGGACAGTCCATCAGCAGTCACTTTGCCTAGCTGCATGCCAAGGACTAACATCATGGCACAAGAAAGACCAGGGCACTCCTGTGTTTTGGTGAGCTCTCCCAGAGCTCCTGCAGATCCTCTGGGAAGTTCCCAGACACAGCAAGTTACAGGATTACAGAGTGGGTGTGAAGCATGTCATCTTGTGAAGGGTTTTCCTTCTACTCTTTTTTTTTTTTTTAGCAGCTTTTTAAGAGAGCTGTGAAAAGATGTATCATTGCCTTGTTCTGGTGAAGGAAGATTGGCCCTTTGCCTCCCCACTGAACAGCGGCAGCAAAATGGAGGAACCCCTTCCCGTTGGAACTGAGACAGAGGCATCTTTGCTGGAGTTGTGGGCTGGGCTTGGTGTCACAGACCTGGGCCAAGCCAAGAGCTCTGCAGTTCATAGTCAAGAAGAGAATGGGGACAACAGAATTTCCTGCAGGTTCCTCCCACTCTATTTACTCTCACACTTGTCAGCAGGTTGTGCTCCAACACATTAACAATCTATCCAATTAAACACATGCAGCTAGAACAAATCCTAGGACAACCAGTAAGGGCCAAATACCTGATTCTGAACGACAACAAAATTGAGACAGAAAAAGGATCTTTTTCCACAGAGAATATTGCTTTCCCTGCAAATTCCATGTTGTCTTCTGGAGTAAAAAATAACCTTCTCTCAAGCTTGCCCACTTATGGAAGGCCAGCTCAGTGAAGCTTTACTACTTCTAAAATAAATAGTGCTGTCACTTCACTTCCCCCTTCCCCTGCACACTGACCAAGACCCTCACAACCAACTTCCTCCTCCTCCTGTCACAGCTCAATACTGCTGCTCTCACTATCCAATACCCAGCTCTCAACATACTGATACCAGCGGCTCACAAAAATCTGAACTTTGAACTCCCATGCACACCTCTGTATAACTACAGAGGAACAGTTCTTAGTTTGTTTAAAGTTGGTTTTTTTTGCCAAAATATTAACTGTACTTTCAAGCAGACATACACTGAACCACCTCAGGAAGCTGTCCATAATCTCCATTTCCCAGGTAATTTGTCATCTGAAGCATCCTTTCCATTGTAGAGTAACACAGTGCCTGGAACGCCCAGCCGAGCATTCCGGGGGCTCTGTTCCCTGTATGCCAGCCTTTGAGCTGCTCCACAACATTTATTTTAGACAACATATTTGCCTTTTTTTTGTGGTGGATTTGCACATATCCCTTCCACTGGATATGCTGGGTAGAAGGAATTTCAGAAGAGCTTTAAATCCAGTATCTACGCTGAGACCATGTCAATTCTTCCCTAATATCACTGACAGAAGTTTGAGCAATCTCTGCTCAGATGCTTCCGACAGAAGAGGCTCTGTAACCTGCCAGGTCTATTCTACTGTTATCCCACCCTAATAATAAAAGGGGCTTTTTTATTTAAATCTAAGTATCTCTGTGGAAAGCTGAACAGCTCACGCATCACTACAGAGCCATGGTGCACACCTGACCATCACATCAATCACTGAGAAGGAAGGACTGAAAATTCATGTTAAGCAGGATCAACCACTTCTGCACCACACTTCACTGACAGAGCCACAGGTCCCTGCCTACAGCGGGGGTTGGAACAGGATGATCTTTAAGGTCCCTTCCAACCCAAACCATTCTCCAATCCAAAGCATACTTGCTTTTCAAGTTTGCAGGCTTTATGGTGATGACAAAGGTTGTTTTCTGGCTTCCTGAACAATCAAATTGTAATTTTTTTTTTAATCTTCCAGTTTCCTAGCACTTCTTTTAATGCCTCCTCTTGCCAAGTTCAATTGGCTGTCACAGCAAAAACCTACAACACTTATGACCCTGCTGTTGGGTCTGTTCCTGTGGAGACAGACCTCAACAAACAAAATAAGAGCCCATTTCTCATTTACACTCCCTATCCACCATTATTACAGGTAGTAAACATACCATAAAGAGTAGGTAATATTTAAAGCATTAGAGAACCTGGAAATTTAGGAATCAAAAAGCATTTGTGGATCTAAAGACACTGTATTACTGGAATGCTTCCTAAGTCAAACACAAACTGTAAATCCCAACATTCAATATCCAGAACTGGCACAGAAACAAGCAACTGGGAATAACATTTTCTATTGGATTTGCTGTCAAAATTAGGTTTACCTGAAAGCTCATCTTTCTACCTTTTCTTTTCTTTTGTTTGACTGCATATCCAGTCCAACACTGACCTCAGCACACATATCTCATTAGTGCTCTGCAGTGCACCACACCCCCCTCTACAATGGCATTTGACAGAGCACCTTGAGCACCTGCAAGCAGACAAATTGATCTTTCCCACAGTATTTCTTTTCAACATGACTGCCCTCAGTGTTGTTCTTCCCAAGTTCTCTACATCTCCTAGAGGTAACAATACATACATTTTTAAATGACAGGCTTTCACAAAGGAATTATTCAATTTAAAGTAATTTCTTTAGTGCATGAGGTCATGGAAATGTCAAAATAATGAGCCTTAAGGCACTGTAGGTAAAATAATTTGGGGACATGGAATGAATTTTTTTTCTAGAAAATGAGCTGAATTTGATCAGTTGTTGCTGAAGGAAGGTATTACCCAAAGCATTTTTCACTTGATATTATATACAAATAGCTTCCTCAATTGGAATGAGATAAATTGGAATTCAATAATATTCAACAGCCATGCTAAGACTCACCATTTCCAGATCTCCATCAGCAACTGCTCTCAGGAGTTTTTCCACCTATGTATGAAGAAAATAATTTATTTGTTTTGTTAGTATTGATATTAAGCAGTACACAGAAAATCCTGTGTCCTTTGCTAACCTCCTAAGCTCATGTAGTAGGATTACTGCTGGCCCATTTCATATTTATTGATAAAGTTTTAAAGGAAAAACCTTCTTCCTTTATGAAGCACAAAAGCTGTACAAGGCCTGTGGCCATTTGATGATCTCTGACTTGCTTAGTTAAAGATAAACAGTACTTATGTAAATTGAGGATATGTGACCCACACATAAACAAAGCCATGTAAGCTGATATATATTATTATGCTGCTTCAGCAGCAGCTGCCCCATACATTTCTGCAGTGAACCTAACATTAAAAACCCCTAGTCAAGACAAATTTCTACCCTAATAAACACTAATACTCTTTTGGACTCTTGCTGACCTACTATAAGCTACCAGAAGCACAAAAGATGGCAGGGTTTATTGTGCTATTTGAGAAACAACAGTTTAAGCTGAAAAAGATTCTTTCCAATTGTTCCCTTCACATGTGCAGATTGCTGGTTTATTCCTGTGCTAAAAACCAAACACGTACAAACCTAACTTGACTTGTAAGCATGAGATTTGTTTTCTTACTTAAAATCTAAAAAGATATAAACATCAAAGGCTGTGCATTAGCAAAAGCCAGGTCTCCAACTCAGAGAGCTGTTGCAGGGGACCAGCATTAGATCAGTTAAATATGTGTATGCTCAAGCCAGACAATGCCTGAGTGGGGCTGCTTGGGGAATGTCCTCTCCTGCTCAGGAGCCCTGCAGAGACAGAAGAGACACACGAGGGAAGAAGAGATGGAAGGTGCTCTGCAGTGCACTGATGCCATCCCCCTGAGCCCTTGGACTGCTTGTGAAAGCAGGACAAGGAGATGCACTTGTCTGCCCACTTCTCTGACTGCCTACTCTCACATGAAGGAGTGCAGATCTGACCTGATAGCAATGGGACAGGTGCCAGCAAGAGGGCAGGGAGAGTCCATTAGTCCTGTCACTGGGTAGCTCACCCAGCCCCTGCAGATTGTTGAAGAATCATTTAATAAGCTTTGTGAAAGTCTGTTTCAGCATTATAGCAAATTATTCCAGCACTGTGCTAGAATCACCAAAGTTGTTTCAATATTAAGAAACACCTCAAGTGGAAAATGCCACGGAGAGACAGCCACAGTCACATTTCAATCTTTATCTAGAAATGACCACCTTGCTGAGTTTGACAGAGATGTTTGGTAAGGCAAAAAAGGAAGAATGAGGCTGAAGTTTGTGTTTGACTGGTCTGATTTCAGACACAAACAGCTCAAAGATCAGAGGCTAGATGAAGTTTCTCCATTTTATCTCCTTTTAGGAAAGCTGTAAGGTTTTATTTCATTACTTTCTTTCTAATACAGGATGAAGGTCCTTGAAATTGTGCACCAGTCACTCAAGGCAGAATCTACGATTCTTTGATTTTCCTTTCCTACCTTTGAATGTCTAAATCTAAGCCAGTCATTTAAACTCCCCCTCTGGTACCTATAGAACAGAATGCAGTTGACAAAGAACACTTGACTGCAATTCAGGTCAAACTAAGCATGTCTGAGGTTAATTCCTCTCTGGAGGTACCAATTTCTTTCCAAGGACTAAGGAGGGAAAATAGATGTCTGAAGTTAAGACAACCATCTTCCAGACATCTGAAGGTGGGTGAGCTGAATCCCAATCTAAAATGGACTATATATACTAGGGAGATCTGTGCCTCCTATAAATTTCCCCATAACATACAGGGTTATGGAGAATAAAGACTTTTCAGGAGTCAGTTTTATCACATACAAGATGCCAAACAGTAACAGCCAGTGACCCACAAGCTCTGATAATTTCTTTCCAGAAATAACAACTTCCTTACAGTTCTAAAAACTGCCTCAGGCCCCAGCAGTGGAACAACATCTGTTATGCAGCTTATAGATAATTTAATAAGAGTACTTAGGGCAAAATGTCTGCTACATGCATTTCCCCATCTTTCCAGTTTGTTTTCTCATTCCTCCATGGAACAGAAGTACCTTCCTTTAAATGTAAAAATAGATGAAACAAATCTACTACAATTCACTTGAATGCCCAGTTTTTCAGCTGCTGAACAAAAATTGTGCAAGGACTTATTAGTTCCAACAGAGCAGGTCCCAGTTTACAGTCCTGGTTCTTTTACTCTCTCTTTTCTAAGTCATAAGCAAACCACCATGACTGGCTCATTTAAGTGAATAGTTTAATTCAGTATTGATAACAAAGGTCTAACTGGATTCCCTTAATCCCTGGTGTGAACCTTGAAATCTGGAAAAGTGACCACATCAGCTTTCCATTACTTCCAGTGGCATTCCCTTCATGGAGCTCTCCCAGGATCAGGCTCTTGTCTCTTTGGGTATTAAGAATAAGAGCAGTGAGCCCACGTAAAACTTGGCAAACAGAAATGAACTAAAGCTGGATTACAGGAGAAGGTCATTAACCCCAAGGACCTCAGGTGTAAGCTGCTTGTAATCTTTTCCCCTGGTTTGAACTACAGTCTTAGCTCTTGGGTGTCATAAATTTGTTCCTTCAAGGAAAAATAAATCTTCAGTCTACCTCCTTAAAGTCATTGACTCTGTACAAACAGGGAGGTACATTCCTACACTGAGCCTCCCATAGAGCAACTGAAGTGGGAAGTAATATTGTCCAGTCAAAATTTACATCCTTGTGTTTCTTCAATGTTTTTAGCAAACGGAAGCTTTTGGCAAGAGAAGAGCCTTTTAATAGCAGGAAAGAAAGAATCTGAATGTAGAGGTGACATGAAGAGAAACAAACACACTAAGGAGGTCAATTTGGAAAAAATTGCATAGGAGGACTATGGAAAAAATAAAGAGAAGCAACAGAATGAGTGGTGGGTGATATGACTCTTTTAGGAAGGGATAAATGGGAAATATGGACCTGAGATCCCACATGAGAAGATTCAGAGGATGGCATCTTGGTTGGTATGGACAGAGCAAAATCAGCAAACACATACATGCAAGATATTTAATATATAGTCTGTATTCTTCACTTGTTGCAAAATTGATTCCCACACCTATTTTGAAAGCTTGTCTTAACATTCCAGTTTGTTGTTTGCCAGCATGTCTGTACTAGTCTCTTTTCCCTGACAGATTTTGTAAGCTAACAATAGCATCTATTTCCTGGAAAGGACAGTCAGGTCCTTGGGGCACTGTACTTTTGTAAACCTGAACAAATTCTCCAATTACACAGTTAACTTCAGTAAATCCGAACAATTACTTCAAATATGCTTTCAATTTTTCCCCAGAAATAACCAACAGATCAGCTGATACCATACAAAAATAAGTGCTCAAGTACTGAGACGAGAAGCCCCTGAGGTCAGCAGCATGTAATTTTCCAAATCAGATAGAAGGCTGGTTCAAAACTGTGGCAAAATATCACTCTTCTAGCTTCCTTCACTTTGCTTATTGTCAAAATTTACACCTCAGTCTTACCTCTTTATAACTGTTTTTTACTTCTTCTTGCCTTATATCAGTTGATGCTGACGACAGGCTTGAGACAGATGATCCTCTGCTGAAAGTTTCTGTTGAGAGCTGAGGAGACCTAAGTGGTGACTTACGGTTGGAAAAAACAAACAAAATTCAAACAAACAAACAAAGTTACATATCAAATTACAGAGGTTAAGAACAGGCAAAAAAAAAGCTTAGCAACTTGCTTTGGTTGTTACCTCAGAAGCACTTTGTCCTCTTTCAAACGTTAGATAGTTTAATTCCATCAGTGACAAAATCTGCATAAAAATATTAAAGAAAATCAGTGTAACTCCATTTGAAGAAGAATCCACTGACTGAAACACAAGTTCGGCGACAACCTAATATTAGTAACAGATTATGACTGAGCAGATTAAAAGTACCCATTTACAAGTTCATGTTCTATCCCACAGACTGTATTCCTGCTACTACAGTTAAAATGTGACCCTTCTTCTTCCAAGTGAAACACACATTTTCACTTTAATGGCAAAACCCTATCAGCAGGTGAGCATCTACACTCTGTGGCTTTGCATCAGGCAGGATTCAGGCTAGAAGATAAAGAGGAATACCTTGGAATTTAATGCACACTGTAGGGAAGTCTCCTTCATCCGGTTTTGAATTTCTGGATTTGCCCCATTCTGCAAAAGCACTTCTATGATCCCTTGATAGCCCCAGCGAGCAGCAATATGGAGAGGAGTGTCTCCCTTCTCATTGCCAATGTCCAGTTTGCAGGAATGCACATCATAGTAGACTAAAGCTTTGACACACTGGAAAGAAAAGGAAAGCTATCAATAAATTATGGTGGTGTCTCTCAATTCAGATAACGTGTACTATTCTAAAAAGCTTTTTTTCATTGCTGCTCATATAATTCACTGCCTAAAGAGGAGGCTTAAATGGTTCAGTGTCATTAAATAAAGAGTTAAATAACTCAACTAAATTTGCACTGTATTATCTTTAATGTGAATTCATAATAAAAATTGCTAGGAGCGACAAAATAAAGTCCTGATCTAGAGCATTAAATAGTTTAGCCTCCAAATCTTTTTATTTACTTTTGAAATATGTAAGTTTAGTGCAAATTTGCATCACAGTTTAATTCCATTCCATTAGAATGTCCATTTAGTTTGTTACCAAACAATTACTTACATCCTCATGACCGTAAGTGCAGGCTAAATGAAGTGGAGTATTTCCATTATTGTCCTGAACATCAGTACTTCCCTTATAGTGCAATAAGAGCAGCTTAAAAGGAAAACAGAAGTAGACATTTAAGTAACTAAAAAATTAATGGGCAAACAATTATGGCTCTGCAGATTCCTTCAGGGTTCTAGCATGATGAAGCACTTCATGAACCACTACACCTCCTGTTTCAGACACCACCCTCTTGGCACTGCAGTACTGTTTGTGCCCCACCCTGAGAACCAAATAAAAGCCATTTCTTACATCTTCAGAGTTGCCATTGAAAAAACGAATTCTCTACTGCAGCAAACACTGCAATACATATACTATCATATTTTAAGAGCCTATGCAAGTGAAGACACAGCTTAATTTACATGATGCTAATTGAAGACTATCACATATGCAAAATTCAAGTAGCCAATAATTACTGTAGTTGCACAGTCTATCCTAAACACAACGTGAAGTCCTTTCGCTCATTCCAGTGACTGCAATGGTTCTTCTGTCTCAATCAAGAGCTCTCCGTTTGTAGCATGTATTGGACATTTGTATTAATAAAATGGATAAATTATCAGGCATGCACAGCTGTCAATTGCTTGGTTATTACCAATGGCTGAAAACCTTGCAATATAAGAAAAAAAATAAAATATCTTGCAAACTACAATGATAAAAGATCCTCAATTCTGACACTACACAGTTCTGGTAAAAGCTTCTCAGAAGACCTAAATGACAGTAACAGTAAAACAGCTCACTAAGAGCCATATATTTATTATTTAGTTAGGTGTTGGTGCTTACTGTAACATTTTGATATCCCTTTTGACAGGCCAGGTGAAGTGGAGTAGAACCGTGGTAATCTGTAGCATTGACAATGGCTCCTTTGGCTACCAGTAAATCCACTAGTGATGTTTGCCCTTGGAAAACAAGGAGACATTAAAAAAAAATAAGCAAACTTTGCAAAAGAACATTGCTACTTTTCAAATTCAAGCAGGAACTATAAACCAAAATACCCTGCATTTCTGCATACTATGTTTCTGTAGACTGTATATTCACTTCCCTGGTATTTGTTTTTTTTTGTTGCAGATTACTCAAGGTCATAAAAAGAACATCTAGCTAAAAACAAGCTATATTTTTACCCTACGAGTAACAAAATATTTGGATTCAATATAATAACAATAGAGGAAATTATTTATAAAAAAACACCCACTAAGAAAATAATACATCTTTTAGTAAAAGATCAATGATATAACGAACATTAAAATCCAGGCGTTACAGATCTACAGTGCATAGCCAGCTGCAGGAGAGAGAAAAGATTCATTTCTCAACCTGCCAGTTCTTTAAAAGAAGACTGGTTTCTGATTTCACATTTATACTTTTTTCAGAGCTGAAGAAAGCACTTCTGTGGTAACCACTACAGTAAAAGTAAACAGCCAGCAAATAAAAAATAAATTAGCCATAAGAAACTGAGCTTAAAAGAATATACAATAACTTCAGTCTGTGCCCAGACAACAGTTTCAGTAGAAAAGAAGGAAAAAAACCAATTTAATGCAATATTCCAATTTTAATTGTAAAGTTGGAAAACATGCTGACATAAAGAAACATAAGGAATAGTGAGTACTAGTGGGGAAAACTAACAGCACTCACCACAAATAGCAGCTATGTGAAGTGGTGTGTATCCCCGGTCATCCCGGGAAAATGGAGTGATAATGGAGGGATCATTGAGTTTCCTGTAAAACACAATGGTTTGGAAGCAGCCCAGTTACCCACGTGGCAGTGGTGAGGAGAGAGAAAGAGAAAAATGGCCAAGGCCAACAAAAAACTGATTCTGGAACCTTTTATCCTTTCACATGGACAAGTTATTCTATAGAGATCTTTACATTTCTTTAAGAGATGTGGTTTTGCCCAAGATGTGTAAGTTTGGTTCAAGAGATGAAACACCACATTTACCAAAGGGCACAGAGCCTCCATCACAGAACTGGTGGGTTCCAAGGTATTCTGTAATCTAATATTTCCTCTGCTATTTCACACCACACAGGCACACTCTCTCTACTCCATCCTGAAGTGCTACCAAATGCCTCTTTAACCAAAAGCAGCTTACTTTCTGAAGTAAAGATAAAGGCTTTTACACAGCTTTATGTGTATTTGTGGAGATGAAGAGTGCTCACCCAGAAACCAGCCTCTCGCATTTGTCACAGTAACAGAGCGGGTGGCACATTTTCTGTACAGTGTCCTTATCACTGTCACCTTGACTTAGCAATCGCTCCACTTCCTCCTGGTTACCTGAAGCAATATGCTACCAAAAAAAAACAGAAAAAAAGAGAATGAGGAACCAATACAAAAGGCCTCCTTTTAAGGAAAAAAAAAACAAGAGTAATTTACTGAAGCACAAAATGAAAGGAACCCATTATAAAAGACGTATTCAAGCATCAGAAAGCAGAAATGAACAATGTCACAGCACAAAACCCCCTAATGGGCACTCAGTATTAAAAAGAATCTGTTCTTGGCTTACTTCACTTTCTATAAAAAATTAAAACAATTCCCATTGTTCTCTTTAGACTCAATCATGAAATTGAGCTCCCTCTGTGCAAAAACATTTCTATAAAATTACTAAGTCTCTAGCCATAAGCTGTGAACATATATAATTAGAATCCCTGCTTTGTGTCCTTGCAGAGGCAAAATTCTTTCAGAATGTCAGTATGAGATTAACATACAATAGGGAGTAGCTGTCAGGTGACCACATTTAAATTATTTCAGAAAACTCGTTCAAATTCAAGCACCAAAAGCTGTGACAGACAACCAGATACTAATATCACATCTGTGCATTAAATGGGCCAAACAATACCAGCAGCAGTAGCATTCAATCCTTATTTGCTTCCATATTTCGTGTAACATGCTGAAATCTCTAAGATTATATTAAGTTAGATTGTATTAAGTTTTGGCACGGAAATGTGCTAGGCCTAAAAGACACTTTTAGCATCTACTAAAGCACATTTAGCAGCACTAATGTAATTAACACTTCATAACATTCCAGAAAATTGTAGAAAGGGAAGGATATAAACACAAAATACATAGGTACATATGTATTTTACCATAAAAGTTATTAACCTTAAACAAGCAGTCTATTGGTGTAGCAGACATCTGGGACAACAAGTTCATCCTTTGTCTTAAAAGCAGCTTGTCACACAGACTCTCAGACTCCTGAAAATAAAATATATAGACAATCTATTCATTTACAAGCATAAGTAAAGTATGTTAACAGTGGAATTAAGTTTTAAAAATATAAACACTCTATTTACCGTGTATGAATTATGAGACACACTGAAGCTTAAATCAGTTTCACATTTAAGATTCTGAGACTCAAAAGACTGTGCACCTGCTGTTCAAAGAAATAGTAAAGAGATGTTCATCAGAATATTCCCTTACTGCAACTTGCTGTGAACTAATTGAACATTAACAAAATTACGGCTGTGCCACCCTGAAAAGAAAACTAGAAAAGACATATCACAGACAGCAAGAACTGTAAGAGCTGCAACACAGCTTTCTCACCAGGAGAAGGTAAGACAACTTCATGTAAGAGCTGACTACTGGTGGCTACTAAAAAAGATGACCCAGATACAACTCTGACTCAAAGACTTTGCTGAACTCTCTGCTAGTTGTTGAGTCAGTTGTTTGCACCAGGCAAAGCATTCTGCAGCAGATTCATTCATGCAGGGTTTCCTACTGGGCACTTCTTGAAAACTGGAGTTTGAGCCGAGCACACGTAGTGCAATTGCAGTGGTACTTCTCATTTTCTGAGATATCTGAAGATACACTCCAGGATGCACTAAAGAACACAAATGCCTCCCAAACCAGGTGAAAATTGAGTCAGATTTTGAAATGGGAACGTTGAGCCTCCCATGAAATAAAACATCTACCTAAGGAAAATGTTTTCTAAGAACATAGATGGAAACACTTGCCCACAGTTGATTGTGATCAAGAGCTGCATATGGTTGGCAGTGAATATCATTTCTTTGGATGCTGTCTGGATAATGACTATCTCTCTAGAAATGGAAAGACTTCAGCCTCCATAAACCATAAGACCACTGTCCTTAAAATACACACTCATGTATGAGGTAAACTTGATGGTTTAGGACCTGGGCTATGGCTTCTGCAATTATGTCTATGAAGACCAGATATAAATGATTAAACCCAGTGTGACTCCACTCTCAACATCAGTATGAAGTTTAAGAATCTCATGAACTGCAAATATACAAAAGAAGTTGAATACTAAAAATATAGAGTTCAGATTTTCTAGAAATTAAATTATTCCTGTTTCAAAATCAACACAGATGCTTCTCATAAAGCTGTCTAAAAAACCCCTAAACCATATAGTAAATAATGGCATTAAAAACATGTTTGTGAGGTCTAGAGATAAAAGTTTGTATCTGTACTTCACAGGACATTGTTTGTATTTAGCTACCCAAAGATGACACGTATTCACAAATCTTTTCAAATCTAAGTACTTTAGTTACAGATACCCAAACATATCTTTTCAGCATTAAAAGGCACGTACTACTATTTTCCTTGGATAAATTTTTCAGTGTGACCAGGAATAACTTCCCTAAGAAACATGCAATCAACAGTTTAACTGATACGAGTTTCTGATGTCTAATCACAATTTCTAGTGTGGATGCTCACAGACAGTTTTATACTTTGACTATTAAGAATCTAAGTAATCACCTGCAAGAACTACTGTAGTTTTAGTACAGTTCCTTCCACAGTGTATGTTTTCAAAGGGAGGTGACTCTTAAATAATTATTCCATTTGGGGAACACTTAAGACAGTGACCCTAATAAAGCAGTATTACATATTTATTATTTAAGTCAGAAAAAAAGAGGTCATCTGAGGTGATATGATCCCACATATCTTCAAAAGTGAAACACAGAATGACAAAAGAATCAGATATTGGTTGAAGCATCAGGCAAGTTTGGGCCTCTAAAGTCAAAAGTCACTTGTAACAGCCTTACTTGCAGTCCAGAATTTTTTTTTCTTTTTAAAGAAAGTGCTTTTAGTGGGACTGTCAGGTATTTTAAGTGTATGTTGTCTAGAAAAGACACATCCAAACATTAATGATCTTTTTTACTGAACACTACTCTCAGTGTAGAGAAATGAAATATTTGTACCTATGAAGGTGTACCTGTGTAATGATCTATCCAAAGTGATTTCCACAGATCTCAACTGATGACCTGGTGGCAGAAACCAGGAAAGGAAGTCTCAAACACAAATTGAGGCTAATAAAGTGGTTGGAAGGGAGACGGAGTAGGGATAATTTCAAACAAAATGCTGCCTATCCCATCATTGCTGGGTCTAATTCCCTATTTTATACCTTACTTCAACACTCTGAATAGCGTCTTACTACACAAGAGTTGGGCATAGGAATGTAACTAGCATCAAACACTCATTGACTGGAATTCTAATTTAACAATGTTGACAACTCTTGGAAAATAAAAGTGATTTTTTTTGAGCTACCAGTTACAGGCTCCTCTCCTCCCCACAACCAAAATGTCTCACCACAACTTGCATGACCTTAGTGAAGGGATTTGGCAAGAATGTCCTAAGTGCAATCCACTTACTGATGCGAGGGTGATAATATGCCCATTATCCCACAGGGTACATTAGTTCCCTGCTGAGTTTTCTTTCTGTAGTGGCTTCATTAGGGATTGGACAGCAGCATTACTCAGCTGCCAGAAGCTCCATCTGAAGCCAGCTATAAAATTAAGCATAGCCACATAAAGGGTTGTAATGAAGCCCCAGGGCACAGCAATGCTCCTGCTCGCTTAAATCCCACAACCCCTTCCACCACAATCTGGAAAACCATGGGGCATCAACATGACAGCTGCTGCTGCTGCTTTAAACAGAAAGTTCATCTCCTTTACCAGAGAATGAAGGAAATATCTAACTCAAGTTCCTGAAGGGAGAGCAGTGCTTCTCCCTCTCCTCACTACCTTTTTTCCATTCCTGTCAGAGGGGTATTTACCACCTCATAGTCTTTCACCTCATTGTGTACCACATTCTCCCTTCTCCTATACTGGAGAAAAGGGTGGTCTAGCTCTTTTATTTTCTGCTGCACTGAGGGCAAGCCATCACCCACTTCCTCCTCCTCGAGGTTCTGCTGCTTTCCCCCTCATCTTGGGGTGCTGCCTTCAAGCCATGAAAGCAAAGCAGAAGGATTTCATGTTGCACACTCAGGGTACACACCCTGAAGTGAGAAAGTGCTCCAGGTCTGGACCTGTTCCAGCTGAAGTATGGGCAGGAACACTCACTGCTTGCTCTTCTATTGGTGCAGACACTCATGTCCTCTTTTAGACTTCTCAAATACACAGTGCATCTTTCAAGGCAGGTGCCTCCCAAAGAAACAAATACAGCACCTTAGTGGCAGTGGCACTTAAGTTATAATCACAGGAGGGCAATCCCAGTATAAAAACCTGCTATGCTTAGCTACAGAAGGAGGGATAGGATCAGGCATTTAGTAGGAAACAGTCTTTATTCTAGAAATTTAAGAGCAATATATTCTTTTCTAGTTTGCTGGTATTGTTGTGGAAGAGAATTCTAACGTGGTTTCAGTTCTCTATTCAGGCCCTGGTATTTGTATACTGATTGCAGGAAGCAAAATTGTAGGGCAAGTTGTTTTTCTTTTAAACTAATGTTTTTATTTTTTTAAACACAATTCAATACAGCATTACAGACAAGAAATACCACCACAGTCTGTTTAAACAATATGAAAGTGTTGAGTTTGATTTTTTTTTTTTGAGTGTACAAAACAAACCTGCACAACAGGTTTGTGGAAAGACCCCAGACAAGAACAAACCCAAAAATAACAAGAGGCTAAAATGTTATTTTGAGTCTTGCTTTTTTAAGATTGTGCCCCAGGCTGTCCCACCCCAAGCCCTGCACACTGAGCCATTATTCTGGCCCCTGCAGTTAGATTCCAGTGCTTTGCAGTTGGGCAGACTGAGACACATTCAACTCACGCTGGTTCCAAGTCCACCCCTTTTGATTTCCATATCAGATCAGGACGACCTAGTTTTACAACAGTAGAAAAATTTACAGGAATGGTAAGAGTGGAATCCTTTACTAAATAAGCTACAGAGTTCTTAATCACAGAAGTTTCTAAAGTCACACCAATATCACCTTGACTGGCCTGCAGGGATTTGAACAGATTGACAGAAGGTCTAGCTGCCCAGTAGGAAATAACTCATGCATCCATAAACTTCCTGCCCCTGCTAGGTTAGAGATCCCAAGAGCCAAATTCAACCTTCAAATACCACCTTCTCATAGCCCTGCAGTCCCACTAATGTATCAACCTGGTGCAGCACAGGAACCTGCACTGCAAACACACTGAATTTTCAGAGCATGAAGATTTACTGAATCTATATTACACTGCACTCTCCACTCTGTTAGCACAGCTAAGCTTTTTAAAATGACACGAGAATTTGTTTAAGCCATGCCTACTATCAAGTACTGCACTGCTTTCACAACCACGATGGAGTACAAACAGGAGACACTGGACTTACTGAAGACTCAGCTGTAGAAAATAGTGTTGTCATTTTTCCCCTAATTAAGATTCAAGACTTCACATTTACCTACTTCCTCAAGGAGTATACAACAAGCAACAAGTATTGCTACAGGGTTAGGACTTCATTGTCATCATTAGATACTTTCAGCATTTGCTTCCAGTAGTCACCTCAACTCATTTCTTTAGCAAAAAAGGGGAATTGTTATGTTAGCTATTTGTATCCTGTGTCTGGATTTACCCCTGCAGTGGTACTCAGTCCTACAAGATATCAGACAGCCATTTGACAGGGTTTAACAGTGGCTTACTGCGGGTCTGTCAGACAGGTTGCCTTGTCGTATGTATTCTATTGCAGCCTCAACTGAGGTTAGACAGTATCCCAGCTCATCCTTCACTGAGCTGCAAAGCCTGAAGTTCTTGATGTAACTCAAGTTGGCCATCCTGAAATAGAAAGTTCAAGCCATGAACCACTAAATATAAGACACCAGCATGACATATTGCAACTTATCTTAGGCTGTTCTGAGCTTTGTAGGTTGATCAAAACTCTGCTATCTCAAATATTCAATGAAATGTTTTTAACTGGAGATAAGAAATATGAAGGACAAGATAAGAACAGTAGTAGGACATTGCCTCCCTCACTTCAATGTTGCAAGCACCATAAGCACCAGTGCTGGCTGTAAGTAAAATGCTGATCCCCAACATACAGGACATAGCAACATCGAAATTCAGTTCAGGTACAGGTGGAAGGTTTAGGTAGACTTATACTGAAGATAAGGAGAGATAAGTACAATGGCATAGATCAGCAGGAAGCATTTACACATTCACATCTGGTTTCTCTGTAAGAAATGTATCAAACATTAGAAGATGCATAAAGGCTTCACAGCTCCCACCACTGATGAAAGAGAACCACTGAAGTCCATACTGACATGCAGATTTGGTAGAGATGGCCTCCCATTGCAACTTTTTTTTAGGCTGGGAATCAAAACAAAGATGCATTCCCAACAGGTCCTTAATTTAGTCACACCTGTAACATATCTTGGCTCTTTGTCCTAGTAATAAATAGTTTTCTGCATTACTGGAAGTGTAAGAGGGCCTGTTGTGAGTTATTACTGCATACTCAGAAACATTTGCCCCTCCAGAAGCACTACATAAGATATGGAGTTCTACACAACCAAAGTAGTTACATACCAGTTTGGGATTTCTGTTTTTACAAGCAAATACAGCAAAACAGAGAGAAGATCATCTGCACACATGGTTTCCATGTTAACTAAAAAAGAAAAAAAAATTCACATCTGATGTTACTCATGTCATGGTTCAAAGCAAGAACAGAAACCCTAAATGGGAGTCCTACCTCCTAAAACTAAGGGCCAGCTCTACTAGTAGGGAATGCATTAAGTAACCAAGGCAGCCTCCAGATGTTCTCAATCTCTCACTAAAATAACCTGACAGAAGCCAACACACAAATGCAGTTTGTACCGTACAAACTGCAATATTTGATTAGCATCCCTCTCTTCTACACAGAAGGAAATCAAGCTCTGGCTCTGAAATTCTTGAGGGCAAAGACTACACCCAAAGTTGATACAGTTTTCTACAACCTAGTACACTTAGTGGAGAAAGGAAGAGATGAAATAAGGAAAGCATCAATTCACTGTGCTACACTATTTGCTTAGTACAAGTATCTTCTCTTTCCAAGCTAGAAAAAATAAATACCAGGTTAAGAGGTTCATGCTTTCCTATCACAGAATCATCTCTGCAATCCACAGTAGCACTTCCAAAGCAGCACATAGGTTTGTTTGTCCCCCACCAACACTGCATTTTGAAAAAGATGCATCTTAAGAGTATCAATTTCAAGATATCAAGGAGCATGAACCAACAGACAAAATCTAGGAGCATTTAAAGGGAATCACCCCCAATTCTGCTGCATGAGGAAGTGTCCTGGCAGATGAAGCTTCCCACATGCCCCAGCTAATATATACATAAACTCATCCAGGACCCCACCTTACCCCACAAGAACCAGTGCTGAAATGTCTACCCTGCCTCCATCGTGCTCGGTTTGGGGACCTGAGAGACCCCCAACTCAACTGTGTTTGATCCACAAGTGCTGTTCAAACAGTGGGTTATACACTGAAGTGTTTTGTGTGTGCTGGTTAAGAAAAAAAAAGTTGAAAATGATTGATTCACTAATTACTGACCTCTTTGGCTAGGAGACTGCATAATAATTTGTACAACTTTACGCAGACAAAGTAGCTTCTGTTGAGGAGAAGAGCATTTGTTCAACTGACCCAGTTCCCGCTTTGCACGTGGTATATTAAAACTACAAAATAATTTGAAAGGAATGATTAGCATACACAGTTCATGTGCAGGATGTCCAAAGCCCAAGTTTTAACTTATTCAGAGCTGAACTGAAGCATGGTTTTAAAGTGTTTCCATCTCTACTCCAAGCACACCTCCATTTCTGTACCTTGCAGATGAAGGGGGAAGCATAAAACTATAAAAGCCAAGCAAACCACCACCAATGCAACAATTGCAAAGCTTTGTTTTTCTATCTCAAACAAATGAAGATAAAAAACTCACTAATGTCTGAAGAAAGACACTTTTTAGCTGACCTGATCCTATTTAAGATAGAATCTCACTGACTCCTCAAAGGAGTCCACAATCATCTCTCTCACCTGAACTCAGGTTTCACTCCAATGTCTTTTTGCTGCAGGTCTTGAAGGCTCCTGGTGATTTTATTAAAAGCAGCATCCTATCAATAGAAAGGCAACAGTTTTTTTAAAATGCTTTAGATTCATGTACCCAGCATTTAGCAACCAAAGAAACTTACCTCACTTGCCTCAATAGTCCCCACGTATTTGAAGACTAGATCATAAATAGCATGGTGGATATACATCTGTAGAAAAAAACCCAGTACTTTAGGCATGAAAGGGAGAGTCAAAAATAGCTTGCTAATTATTTTCCTTCATTTCAGATTCTTACTTCAACTGCTTGTTTGATCAGATTCATCTGCTCTTCTTGCTTTGCAAGCATCTTCTGGAAAAGGAAAGCCACAAAAACAGCATGAGAAAGTCAGATAATTTATTGCTTAAGTACCACTGTACTATGTATTTAGGGGAGTAAGCATTTACCAAGTGCGAATCTCTCAAAAGATGCTGGAGACATTTGGTATAAAGTGCATTGACAGAATCCTGGGGGGAGAAAAGGTAAAAAAAAGCCATCAGATTCAGGTTAACGTGACTTGAAGGAACAAAGCTTAAATAAGCAAAGAAAGGAAGGCTTCTCTTCCTCAGAAGTGTGCACTATGTTAAGAGTTTTAGCAAGAATAATTACATTTATCAAAACATTAGGATGTGCTAATTCACATTTAAGAATTTCACTTTCTCCCTTCCCCCCCTTACTCAACTCTAGGCTACTCTGACAGAAAAGCTCAGAACACTCAGACAACAAGAGCAGTGAAACAAATTAACATCTAGCAGCAAATTAGACATGGAGAAGGAAGATACTGACTATATAGTGGCGGAGGCTTTTCCTTTCATGTTCTTTAAATGTTCTGTAGAAAGATCCTATGTATTTATCAAATCTCTCACAGTGCCTTCCCAAGAACTCTCTAACATCTTCAATATTTTTAAGAGAATAGGAGTTTGAGGAAGCTGCAGATTCAGCTGAAATGAAAGTCAAGAATTAACACACAGGGTTAATATGTATGCATGAGAAAATACATTTTGTCCCTACACACACAGCCAGCTTATGTGGAAGAAAACATTAGTGCAGCTTATTGCACTTTTAACTAGAGGTATTGCTTTTAATTAAAAGAATTTAATGCATCACATTTGAGAAGTCTCTCTTGCTTTTTACGTCAAGTATTTATTTGGAATAGCTGAAACAGATTTCACTTTTTTTTTTCCACTGTGGTAATTTACTGCCACATGCACTCAGCTTATGAGTTGTGTAAGTCAAGCTTGAAAGTAGAAGAAAAGCACATTACAGTGTGGACTGAGTGCACATGCAGGAAGTCAGGGTGCTTTAAGTGAGCTGTAGAAATCCCATCTTGGATTTTTACATAACCTATTCTTTATTTAGACACGCTTTCTCTGAATGGGAGGGCAAAGTTGCTTCATGTAAACATTAAACTTAATCCACTTTCCTTCTGAATAAGACAAGTGAATGCCTCACTTAGAATTCATATTGCTTTTCCAAAGTTTTTTTTCTAGGCGAATCTTTCATTTGCAATCAAAGCCAGCCAACTAATAAAAGGCTTAAATCATTCATTTCAAATTACTTTTGAAATTAGAAACTGCTTCTTCTCTGAAAGGCTGCTATAAACTATATTAAGTAATGGATAAAAAAATGCCACAAGAATTTGATATATAGATTAATATTTATAGAATTTAAGGCTATATGTATGCCAGTTATTTTTTTCAGAGCAACTTCCATACTTCCCTCTCAGTACTATTTTCACACTATCCCAGTATTATTTCATGTTGTCATCACTTGTTTCAAATATTATTTATTTAGGAAGACTTATGTTTTTATTTCAGAAAAAGCTGAAGCTTCTTAGCTTCTTAAGGAGCTTCTATTCCTCTTAATGAGTAAACACATAAAAGTTCACATGGAAATCCTGTTACATTCACAGCATTAACAGCAGTCTTGAAAATAGTGTTCCAGCCTTAAAGGGCACTTGCAGTACAGGAAAGAAATTAAGACATTCAACCAGGAGAGCTGCTACACAACTATGCCAGTCAACCTCTACCCACTGACAAAGTGATCATGAAAGAGTTCACCCCTCCAGCTTTTTTGTGCATCCACCTTTCATCTCAAGACACACATCATATTTAAGACTAAATCCCTGTTTTAAGGAGTCAGCCCTAAACTGAGCACTGCTAAAAAAATCACGATGGATTAAGTACTCCACTGATGATTCTTAGTGCTGAGACTTGGGGAGAAATTCAACAGAAGTTTGCCCGGCAGCAACTTCATATTTCTCTCCAGCAGCACACCAACATCTGCCCCAGGAAGTTAAGGAATGCTGAGGGCTTTCAACCAAGCCAACACTTTTCAGAATGAACAAATGTATTAAGCACATCAAACACACTAATTTGCTCGCTGTGCAAAGGCAGCCACCAAGTTAACACTTCGATACATACTTGAGCTTTCTGTTTTTTCCAGGGGATGAGCTATACACAATATACTAAAGCTTTCTTCCTTTTCATTGTAAAAGGTTTCCTCAAAGAGAACAGGTACTGAGAGATGGTAATTAAAACCAGCTCCCAAAATTATGAGGTTTCCTTGTATGAAGATCTCCTGAAACAAAACAAAGACCAGATCAAGTGTGAAACTCTGCTAGAAGAAAGTTACTCTTTGGGTTCTGCACTGCATAGTTAAATTTCAAGGGAAGGAAGAGAAACTTGCAAGACAAGAAAGCCACAGATCAAAAAGATTTCACATTGTCATCTGTGTAGACACTGAAACCTCCCTCAGTCTACAATGGCTGGTTAAACCTTAGTTACAGGCACTGTCTTTACAAGTCTTCTACTAGAGGACATTTCAGAAGTTCCAGACAATCACCAAGATCTGACTATTTGTAGATTTTAGGGCACTTTTAGTAGAAGGGAAATTGAAAAAAACCCAACTTAAAATTAGAACCTAAGCTCAGCTCAGAAGAACACCACACATCTTGTCTATGTTTCTGACACTTAGCTTTATCTTCCCAAGTAACTCCAGTGAGGACATCTGCAACAGGAAGATCTAGGTGACAGCCTGCAAACTACAGGTGGAAGTTCTCAGACTGTACTGCAAAATTACAAGTGAAAAAACAGGGATTCTAAGCAGTGTCAGCCTTTCTTGGCGTGGCCTGCTGCTACAGCAGTCACTTAGTACTCCCTGAACTAAGACAGACTTCAAATACAATTCAATACCATCATAATTTTGTCTTAAGCCTTGATGAACTTGCATCTGCATATAATACAGGTAGGCTACTACTTGCCTGAAAGCTGAAGAGACAGTTCTTAGCTAAGTGATAAAGGCACTTCTGCCACTCAACAAAACTCCTATGAGTAAAAAAACAGATAAATTGACAAATTTGCTTTGCCACAGTAAGGAAGTCAGAGGCTGTGTTACCATCTGAACAGGACATCTATTGTTGTGGGCATGCCAAAATATAGATTTTTCTGGAAAGCAGTATATCCCCAAGAAAGCAGTATAACTCCTGGTTACCTCTCCTGTAACCATAAGTTCACACTATCAGTCATCAGCTGCAATGAATCACTTACTGGAGTGTCCCCAAGCTACAGTCAGACATCAAAAGGGAAATAAATACCTTTCCATTTAAAGTTTGAAAGTTTTCTTCTAGTGGCTTCAGAACATAAGATTCAAACTGGCAGGTAGAAAGACTGTTGCTTGAAAGGCTTCCTTTGCATGGAACTAGCACCTGAAAGAGTTAAATCATGCTTTAGAGAAATGCCATGTATTGCCAGCTAAACAGCAATAGCTTTTGTCCTTTAGAGGCAAGCACTTAAATCTGGTTTATAAATACTAACTACTAAACATGTAGCCACTATAGGTGCTTCTGTTTAAACAAAAAGAAAGGCTATTGCTAGACACAGTCCAGTAATTACCCCAGGGTTTCATTTAGTGACTTATCTGAAAAAGGATGACAGATGCAATTGAAGAAACAATACTATGAGAAGGAGATGAAATCTTCAGTTACTTAGCACCAGTCACACAAATGACTTAAAATTAAGTAGCTAATAAAAAAAAAGTGAAGTATATTTTCAAACTAAAATGAAAATCCATCAGAAAGAAGAAAAAAATTTAAGATGAGAAGCATCTTGGATCTACACCAACAGATTGGCAGTGTGGGACTAATGCTTAATTAAAAAGCAACAAATTTTATCATCAGGTAACAATAACCTCCATGTTTAATGGAATCTCCACACACTTAATCTGGAATGATTAATTGCAGAACACCCACATTAGAAATCTCAAGGACTGGAGTTTTTATTCCAGCTCAGTTTAATAGCTCTATTTTGCTATGCAAAATGCTGTTAGAAATAAGTGACTGTCTGTCCACCAGGAATTCAAAAGGTCAATCTCATTTTCAGTTACAAGCATGTGAGAGAATATGTAACTTCAACTCATAGCAAAGAAAATAAATTTCCTGTAAAGTTTAGAAACAACACCAATTTTAACCTTTTACTACCTTAATATATCAAGAGGTCCATATCAATAAACAAGTAACAAACTAAAAGTTGTTCTGCTTCACTTCCAAGTTTTGCAGGCTTGAACTAATCTTTATATGTTTCATAGTTGACATATATGATTTAAACTCAAATACCTAGTATTTAATAATCAGCTTTTAAATTTACTTATTTATACTTACAATTCCATGGAGTTCTGCAACTTTGCTGCACAGATCAGGACGTCGCTTCTGAATGGCCAAATAAAAGGGATTTTTCAAGATATCTTCATCATACATAGCCATATGGACTTGAGATATTCCAAGGAGATTCTCTAAAATACATATGGAGAATGGCTGATGTATCACACACAATATATCTGCTAAAATACACTGTTTGGGAATACCTAGGGGATAGTTTCATTCTCCTTCTCTGAAAGGACAAAGCAGTTTCAGGTCTTGATGTAAGCAGACAATGGCATACTAAGCTACAACTATGGTTACTCAGAAGTTATTCAGACATTACTTTTCATTAATATACATTTCCAATTCCACGTTTATCCTCATAATGTTTCCTTAGGCCTTCTAGTTGTTGGAGGCTAACAATGAATATAGAAGAGGAGGAGAGAAGTTAAGATCAGAATTATTACCACTTTGACATACAAGCTAACTTTTGCTGAAATCTAAAACAAGCCAAGAGACAAATCAGCAGCTCTTTTACAGCAGATTCTACTGCCCCACAGGACACAGATGCTTTTGCATTACACTCATGTAAGTCTTAAAACTCACCTGCATAAGGATTACTGACACACAACAATGAGACACCCAGATAGGGTAACACACACCCTTGTGTAAGGCAATCCTCAACTTTCCAGGGACAGTTACAGAGGTACACCAAGGAGATATGAAAACCCATGTCATAATTAAAAAGTCACCGTGAAATTAATAATTTCTGGTCATCTCTATGCCTGGGGAAAAAGCCTCAATGACTTGTGGTCAGGCTGATGCACAACATTTGGCAAAATAGTGAGCAAAAAAGGGACTGGAGTCAGAAAACCCAATCTGTAAGCACTGGAAAAAGCTGTCACTTGGTGTGTCACAGTGCCCTGGAGAAGATGATCCCTAAGGCACTAGACTCTCAACTGCTTGCTTCCTCAGTTCTAATTGTCTACGACATTCTAGAATACAAGGGTACAAAAAAACCTTACCAGGAGGATGGCTGGAATAACTGGAATAACTTCAGAGTTATTTTTTAAACAAGAATTGAGATTAACAGGCTTACAAATGCTTACAAGCTTGCTTTACATCTTTGCCCCTCATCCAGCTTCCCTTGGGAATCAACAAGTTGCACGATTTCCTCACACAGTTTCAGCTGTACATCCTGGAAAAGGGTGAGCTACAAACTTTAGTTTGAGCAAGCCACCCTTACACAATCAGTATCCCTCTGTTTCCTAACATGGAGAATTATACCTAGCACATTATTTACTCAGTGTGAGCTCATTGTATGGCAGTCTAAGAGTGGAAAAACACACACCCATTGATTTTAGATAGCCTTTGGGTTTCAGCCCTGCTGTTAACTGATCTACAGCCTGTTAACTGAGCTGGGCTCTGGTCCTCCTAATTAGGCACGAGAAGAGCTGCCTTAGAGAGCTAAAGACAACCATGATCAGTTAAAGCTGAAAGCCATTTCCATTATAAAGTTATCACCACTGACTTACAGCTTGGACAACCTCAGCCTGAACCACTGAAGTCTGGCAGCGGCAGGTAAATGCCTCAAGCAGAGTTTTCCTGTGCAGTTCCAGACAAAATGGTCCATCCACTCTCAAAGCATACAATAAGACCAAGAGCTTCTATGAAAGAATACTTATTCAGAGCTCCCAAATCAGCATTTCTTGGAGCACAGCTCTGGAGTTTGCCAACACAATGGGGAAGAAGGTGTATGCTCACTGACGCTTAAAAAAGACCAACCAAGTTCAGTAATTACAAGACACAAATCTAGAAAAAGTACAGCTTCACACAAGTTCCAAGTGACCCAGCAATCTGCATTTGCAGCCCAGAAAGCCAACCAGGTCCTGGACTCATCCCACAGCGTGGGCAGTAGGGGAGGGGGGAATTCTGCTCCTCTACCCTGCTCAGGTGAGACTCCACCTGCAGAGCTGCCTCCAGCCCTGGGATCCCAGCACAGGAAGGACATGGAGCTGCTGGAGCGAGTCCAGAGGAGGGGGGAAAAAAAGATAATTGGAGGGATGGAGCACCTCTGCTATGGAGACAGGTGGGGTTGTTCCATCTGGAGAAGAGATCTTATTGTACTCTCCAGAACCTAAAGGGGCCACAAAAAATGCTGGAAAGGGAATTTGGACAAGAGCCTGGAGTGACAGGACAAGGGGAATGGCTTCACACTGAAAGGTGGTGGATTTGGATTAAATGTAAGGAAGAAATTCCTCCCTGTGAGGGTGGCAAGGCCCAGAGATGCTGGGATAACATGACCCTGAAGTGTTCAAGGACAGCTTGGACAGGGCTTGGAGCAACCTGGTCTAGTGGAAGGTGTTCCTGCCCATGGCAGGGGGGTAGAATGAAGTGATCTCTCATGTCCCTTCTAACATCAATCATTCCATGATCTGTCCCACTACAGTGTCTGGGTAAACAGGATTACCACCAGTAATTCCACCACTGATGATGACTAGAAGCATTCCTTGGCAGGCAGCTGCAATCCAAGTTCAAGCTGGAGGATTCTCCCTCAGCCAGTGGCGGGGGAAGGAGAAAAGGCAACACAAGCCCGGGGGCAGGTCTGCTGCAGGAACACAGTTGTCTCATCACTGACCTTAATAAGCACACCCAGTTAGCCACAAAACACAACCTGCCTGCTGAACATCTGGATAGGGCACAATTCCAAGTGAGATCTTAAATGACTGTAGCTTACAGTCCAAACATGACTCAGACAATTCAGTATATATAAGTAAATACAATTTAGTACATATAAGTCAAGGACCAAGCACAGCTGTATGTACACACGTGTGCAGTCTGCAAAATAGTTTGCCACAACAAGATGTATTTGGGAGTACCACATGCTTTTTTTGGATGCTCTGATGGCCTCATCACAAGAGATGAAGTGATTGGAGAAGAATCTGATGTGAGAAAAGCAAGAAGGCCCTGTAAGCAGAATCCAGTCCATGAAAGGCAGTGATGTTTATGCTGAAGCAACTGAATGAAACAGGTAAGAATTTTTTTCCCCAGGTGTATTAAAACTTTCAGTGAAGGGCATTTTTTCCACATCTATCTCAGGAATAGGCCTTAACTGAAGAAAAACAGGCTCAGATTACAGATCAGGAACACCTTTGGAAAGAGAAGATAAGCACGTGGTTTAGATTGCTTGCAAAGGTATCAAGTCTCACAGAGTAAATCTCTAAGAACGTGTTAGACAAACCTCTCCCAGAGGTGATAATGGACATAGTGAAGCTAGGAGGCTGGATTATATGGTCTCTCCAGGCAGTTTATAAATCAAGCTTTCACTAATAGAGTTGGCCCACTGAGGAAGCTTCATCTGCCTTTTGTTTGGTAAATTCATGTATCTGGTCAAGCAGCAGAAGATGAGGTTGCTGTGTTCTCCCAAGACAGTGACAGAGAAGGTATTAAACCACAAACTGTGCTGGGGAAAAAAAAAAGCACATTGACACAAGAAGGCAACCAAGCACGAGACTGCAGAGTAAAACTGCAGTACACAAATGCCTCCAATTGCTACAACTACACTGCCACTTCTTCAGCTTAACACATCTTCAAGTCTGAAAAGTTCTTCTCATAAAAGGAGGGGAGGAGAACAACACATCCCACACATCCTCCTCATCTAGGAACCTGTACCTCACCATCAAAAACACCCAACTGATAAGCTCTGGCCAGAAAGAAATTGAAAAGAACATTTCATTCCCCAGCAAAACAGGGGAAGGGATTTAGGGGAGGAGGGAAGCTCCCACAGGCTTTCTACCTGAGCTTATGAGGTCTGTGGGACTGACCTAGCTCTTCAATCACTGCCTGCAACTTAAAAAAAAACAAACTAAAAACAAAAACACAAGCAACTGGAGTACTTTAAGAATCACTGTTGACAGACCATCACAGGAAGAGCTTGAAATTATAATCTTCAATTCGTGGTGTGTGTTACACACCACAAATAACTAGTTTTAAAACACTTAGCTGGAGCCATAGAAATTCTTTCACTACAGAACTACTGGGTTGACAGGGTTGAATCACCCTGGAGAGCTCCAGCAAGAAGTGAAAAGAAAACATTCAAATACCGAATTCCAGCATTTCAGCTACTGTAATGCAACTAAGGTGCCATCAACATGCTGTACCTCAAGAAGGGAGCCAAAACTTTTAGTTCACATGGATATTTGTCACCCACCTCGAGCAGAGCAGATTGCAAACTCCAGGCTGGTCCCCACACAGCAGAACACCCCCACCAGCCACGTTAGTACCGTTTTGAGAATCACAATTCTGAATTTCCTTCCCATTTATCTCTTCTTCACGCCTGCAGCTGCTCAGTGCCACATTAGTGGATACCTATCATACTTGATTAAAATGCAAGTATGAAGAACAGGTAGAATACTTATTACTTAAAACAGTTTAGTTACTATATTCACTTGGGTCTCCATCACCTACCCACAGCATCCTTCAGAGGGCCAGAAGCGTGGATGTAGAAACCATTTACCATGTAAGTAATTAAAAAAACCAAAGGCATTTAGTCTACAGATTCAAGAGAATACATTAAAGCTTCCCCAAAGCTCAGGCATTTTGAGATTAAGTCAATTTCTTTCCACCCCAAAAGTTAAATGCATCTGAAAATACTGGCTAATGCACTGCTGTAATTATTGGAATGCATTAGAATCCTCCAGTGAGGGTTTGTTGGCAGAATACAACATCCAACTTCAACCTACTTTAACTTGAGGGTGACACAGACCTACTCTTCCCAGTTGCACCTTGGACAGCTTTAGATTTACTAACACTGAGAAAGCAGAAAATGAACAAAGCCTTTATATACATTACTAGAACTGTTTAATGCTTAACAGAAAGCTTGTTAAAAACTGTCAAACTATATTCACTCTTAAGTTTACTAAATTCTATCATGCTGAGCTATAAAGCAATACTCAAGTACTAATGTTATATAAAAGGTTTAAATGGAATCATTAAGTGTGTGGCTTCATGCCTGTAAACACAGAAATAGCTCAAATTGCTGGAAGAACAGAAGCTGGCTGGATCAGACAATCTAATAAGCATTATGTTACAGCTTAAAAAACCCACAATCATAATCTTAAAACAGCCAAATCCTTTCTTGATCAAAAGCAGAGTGATAATTCTAATGACAGAACTATGGTACAAGGGATAGCTCAAGTGAAAAACATGGAATCTAAGTTTATCACTGTTTTCTCCAAAACACCACAAATTAAGCCTTATTACCTTTGGTACTGAAGACAGTGAACAGGAATTAACTCTGACAGTTCATTTTGTCATTAATGGTGTTTTCCTTTAGAGATCATCAAGTGAGGTACCTTTTCTAGACCTTGAAGGATTCGGTTCCTTTTAAGAAGCACTTTGAAATTTAGACAAACAGCCACTAAAGTAGATGATGTCATTTTATTGGCATTGTTACTTGGCAGTTAAATCATGTCCACGTTCAAGTTATACAACTATTTACACTAGTTTTAGGCACATCATCTTCTGAACATCCTGCTATACCCCTACTAAAGACTTAGCAAAACACACTGGAGAAAATGCCCTTCATAATGGAGTTAGGGATTGTGTACACAAACACTTCAATGCTGAACAGCATAATATTTTAATATTACTACAGCAGAACAAAATAAAACAGCTACTAAAGTTAGCAAAAAGTATCAGTCTAGTTCAACAACGTGAAATGTCTCCAGGAGAGCAAGTTAGGATATTACACTGGAACGTGAACATCAAGTACCTCAGAGCCCTCTCCACACAAGCCCAGCTTTAAAGAAGCAGAATGCCTTGTTCTCCAAAACCTTTAATACCAGATCCATTAGCATGGTATGTTCAAGAAGCATCAATTCACTCAATTTTACTTGCATGGCAATACTGAAGTTTCACATGACAGTATCAATTCAATCTTACCTTGAAAACTCTACAAGAGGAACGACTAAGGCTTAGTAAACCAGTAACTAGAATATCATTTGCTGAAATGCTCAAAATAATGAGCAAATCAGAACAAGCAGCAACTTATTATTAAACTAGGAGACTTAGAGTAGCAGACATCTCTAACAGTTTTTATCATGCTAGCAAACTGCACAGCCCCACAGAAAAAAAAGAGGAAGCAGTTGTTCCCCAGTTGTAAGTTAAATTCTTTTTTTAACCAAAGTGCTTCCCCCACACACTTCAAGAGCACGACTTGTTCACAGGAACAACCAAAGCTAGGCAGATCTTAAAGTACTAAGCAAGCAAACAGTGAATTTTAAGTAGTCTCTGTCCAAATACAATCCTAGTTATTTCTGTAGCCACTGCTTTACCTGCACTATTAGTCCTCATTTACTCTGCTTCTGGGCAAAGGTTACAATATGAACTTGAGCCCAAAATCAGCATTCACATCAAAACAAAAACAAGTAAAAAAAGAAAAAAAAATAATTCTGTTTCTGAGCACTTAAGAAACCTTACTCCCCTTCCTAAAGGACGAACACTGAGCATCCTATGAAAAACACCTCCAAGACACATTCCAGTGCACCCTGCTCACCACGAGGGAGCAAAGAAGGAAACAAGCTATTCCTACCCCTTCTAGATTCAGGTTCAGCTTCTCTTGGTTTCTGTGAAACTGAAGTATGTCAGAATAACACCTCTGAATTATCAAATTAGAGAGTGGTCAATTCGCATCAGTCAGCTCAAGGCTCACTAGCAACCAAACTAAGTTTTATGACCCCAGAACATCAGCCTGACAGTGATGGAACAGCATCTGGAAAGGAGAGGTCAGCAGCATTCCAGGAAGATGCTCATTCCTCTCAGCATCTCCCTTCCAGGCACACAGTTTTTCCACTGAAGAGCTGGCACAAGATATCTTGATTTTGGTTTTGCCTCCACCCAACACTCCCCAGGCCTTTTTAGCCCTAACACCTCTGGCCCTCCTATAACTGCTCCCACTCTGCTCAGACAGGCCTCCTCCAAACTCTGCACACCTGGGCAGCACCACAAGATGGGCTTGTACCAGTTCCTCCTGCAGCTTCTCATTACCAACCCCACCTTGTAAACTTGAAAACTGAGCTCACCCCTGAGAAGTAAGAAAGTTCACCCTTTGTATTTTAACAGTGCATTTATTTGCACCACAGTTTGATCTGGACACATTCTTACTTGCCCCAGACTTGAGGGCAGAGAAAATATTGGCTTGACTCTCCATAGTCACCTGTTCCTTTCCCCCAGAGGAAGGACATTTCAATATGTGGATCATCCTTCCACAGGCAAACCTCCCACTTCCAGTCACTCCCATATATTTGAGAGCATCTTACTTGTCATTAGCCAAGTATTAGGAACAAGCTGCATTATCCTCTTCACAACAGGATAGAGACTAGATTCCCAATTCTCAATTCTTGCAGGCTTAGAAATCCACTAGAGTAGCTGCCAAAAAACTTTCTTGGCTTACCAGTAATGAAGCTGCACTTAATTCTCAGGTGGGGAAGCCTGAACTACTCCCAACCAAGCCCTAGACCAAAGTGCAAGTGGTGGTCAGTGAACCACAAACAGTTACAATGAACATTTAGAGGAAGAACATTAACAGAAAATACAAAGTTCCCAAAACAGCTTCTCAAACAAAGATGATTTCCCTAAATATTAGCAAGCTGTATGGAAGGCCACCTCCTCAGGTTCACAGAGGTGCCAACACTGGTACTTCTTTGGAGGATGAAGAAAAACAGTGGAGTTGAAATGCATGGATAAACAGAGATTTAATTAAGCCAAATATTTTCATTCTTTAGTTACTGAAGGAAAACAGTGGTATATTTCCCAAGGCTGTGAACAGGTCACAGAAAGTAATTTCTTGCCTAGTTACAAACCACCACCACTCACAGCAGGCTGCTATCAACTCCAACACTAGGGACATGTCTGTAAAGACACCAAGTCTGCAGGGCCAGACCCAGCACAGAAATACAAAGGAGCTGAAGCCAGCAACCCCATAGCCATTCACCTCAGTTCCAAGACAACTGGGCAGGAATTTAATTCCTTCCCTGCGCATCTCAATAGAAAAACCAAGTCCTTGCAGGCCAGCACTAAGTCTTACCTCATTGCTGCAAGAAACTTAAACATCAGATAATTACAAGAAGAACTAATTATGAAATACACTGTAGAATTACACTAGATCTCTCCTTTAGGCAGCAGAGCAAGGGGAAGGAAGGCTGGAAAACAATTCAGCAGGTAAGTTCTAACTAGCAAAACAAATTACTTCAACCACCACTGGTGTTTTGATGCTACACAACGCACCATAAACAGCCTGAGCTAATTAAGAGCTTCCTGACAGTAAACATCAGGACAGAGATATCAGTCTTAACATTCTCCCATGATATAAATTAGGATTCTTGCTAAGGATGAAGTCCCAAGCCACTTGACCAGGAAAATGCTTAGCCAAAAGCAAATCAGAAAATAGTTATTTAAGGAAGTGCATAGTTTATCAGTCATCAGGGAGAGGGAGGGGGTTGATGTTGCATTTTATTTTCACTGTATTTCACCCTTATTTTCCTTCTTTGTGTCAGAGTGGCTTCAAGCTTTCCCAGGCCACAGCAGCCTACAGACAAAACTCAGTGTAATGAGCTTATTCAAAAAGCAAGGCCCTCAGACAAGACTTACCAACCACGTAAACAAAATAAACTTGCATTTACCTAAGTTTCTACTCTATTGAAATGAAGACATAACACTTAATTAGTGATGCATCAAGAAACATCACAGAATATTTTGCAGAGATTTTTACAGGTACTTCATATGAAGAATATTTTCATTTATGTCTATTGCAAGAAAGCCTTGGCACAGAACAAGGAAATACATTTCTCCTACTACTCATTATGCTGCTTCCTAAGTCAGTTCTAGATTTTTACACTCCATTCTAAAAGTTTTCTCAGGACGGTATTTTGGCTAGTCAGCATCTTGTCTGATAGCAGTATCAAGATTTGGATTTTCAGAATATCATAACTAACAAACTACAACTGAATTTTAAGGTTTCCCACAATCTAAACAAATCCTATAACTGCACGCAGCTCAACTTAACTTAGAAGTAATGCAAATGACAGGCTCTTTCTTCCACATGACACACTTAAAGATGTATTTAAGCATTACCTTACCTGCACCTGATACAGATTATAACTACTGCTACCTTCAAGTTTAAGTAGTCACATGCTTCTGAACCAATACTCCCTCCCTCCCCTTCCCAGACACTTTCAGAGAAGCAGCTTCAGGATTCTCACGTGCCACTTCAGTGCCATGTGGCAAACTTTAAACACAGCTACTACAGACACACACAAATATGCACAGTTTAGTCAGCAATAAGCTTAACACTTATGTCACACAGGACTCCAGATTCAAACCCAGAGCTAATCCTTTTTCCACCTGACAATGATTAAGCAATTATAAAACTTCACTTACAATCAGGTCAAAATCATCCCATGTTTCTTAATGCCTACAAGGAAACAGGCATGACTGATTTGCTTCTTCCAGGCTACCAACATACAAATTGGTAGGGTGCTACTCAGTTTAGTCAGTAGCAATTTGGCAATCTACAGAAGATAAAAGGTGGTTTCTTCCACAGGTAACAACCTGCAGCAGAAGCTACACAGGGCTTGGAACTAGGGCCAAAATTAAAGCAGGACAAAATATTAAAAAAAAAGTAAAATAAACAAGTCAGTGGAGCCCAAGCTACCAAGATACAGAAGGAGGAACATAGTCTAGACAAGACTCTTCAGGTTGTGCTCGGCCACAGAAAGTCAGTCTGCCTGGACTCTGCTCCTAACATCCTAAATTATCTTGCTCATAACACACACACTGCGCTGCAAGGCTAGTGATAAGGGAAAAGATAAGGGAGAGGGTCAAGCTCCCCTCTGTGGGAGTATGGCTTCACAGCTTTCTCAAGCTACTAAAGAATCAGAAAACCACTGTGCTACCCATAAACACTGAGGGATGTGTAGTAGCTTCTGTTATGACAAGCAAGCTCTACAGAAGTCCACTCCAGCAGGCACATCGCATGCTAGAGACAACACAGTTTAGTTCACCAAGTGGCACTCAACACCATCAACTCCATTCCTGCAGACGCACATACAGGCACGGCCTAGCGCCCATCGCCGCTCCCCGAGCTGCACCGCAGCGCTGCCAAGGGCAGCAGCCGGAGCATCACTTCTGCTGCCGAGAACCGCTGCGTTTCCTGCGCTTTCTGATGCGCTTCACTTGAGCCAAGCGCGGGCGCCGCGGGGCGCACACCGGCCCTTCCCGCCCCGCTCACAGGGGGCGGCTCCGTCCGCAGCCGGGCCCCGGAGCGCCCGCGGGACACGGGGGGCCCGGCGGGACCGACCTGCCCTGCACAGCGCACACAGCCGGGCTCGGGGCTTAACACGGCAGCGCCCGACCCCGCCGCGGGAGCGGGGGGCACCGACCAGGGAGACACGCGTGTGTCCTCCCGCACGGCCCGACCCCGCCGGCGCTCCGGGCAAAGGCCGGGCCGGCACCGCCCCGCCCGCCGCGGTGCCCAGGCCGGGGCCGAGCGGCTCCCGGAGCGCAGCACGGCGGGCCAGGAGCGCTCCGATGGTCCCACCCCGGCGGGTGGGTCCCCGGAGCGGATCCCGCAGCCCCGCGCTCGCTGCCGGGCAGCCCCGGGGCAGGAGCGCCGCTCGCACCGGCACCGCCGCCTCTCTCCGCCCCGGCCGCGCAGCCCCCGCCGCCCGCCTCCCCCCGCCGCCCCGCGCCCCGGCAGAGCCCTACCGGGGTCCAGGGCGGGCCCGGCGCGGCCGCACGAAGCCAATGGCCGGGCGGCGGCGGGAGGGAGCGAGCGAGGAGCCGGGAACGCCGCGGGGTCGCTGCCTGCGGAGGCGGAGCCTGCGAGGGCTTATAGGGCCGGGCCGGGCGCTCCCCGCCATGTGACCGCGGGGCGCCCAGCTGGGGCTAGTTAAGTGGCGGCGGCGGGGACCGCCGGCTGCTCGGCTGTCGCTCCCCGGAGCTTTGGCCTCCGCTTTTTTTTCAATTTTTATACATTTTTTTTCTCCCGTCCCTCCCGTGCGCTTGGCACTTTTCAAAGAGCAGCGCCCCGCTCCAGCGCGGTGCGGGACGCGCGGCCCCGGGGGCGCTGCGGGCGGCGGGGGCGATGCCGCCCGCCCGGCGGGGCTCCCCCCGGCCCGACCGCGCTCCCGCCGCCGCCACCGCCTGACCGGCCCGGGGAGAGGGCGCTGGATGCAGGAACGACCCGAAGGCACCGCTTGCCATGAGCGCTGGTAGCGCCCGGCTCGGGCAGCGCCCGCGGCCCGGCACAGGGTAGTCGGGCAGGCAGGCGGGCGGGGGCGGCTCCGGGCGCACCGCGACCATGGTGAAGGAGGAGTGCAAGGCGCTGCTGGACGCGCTCAACAAGGTGACCGCCTGCTACCGGCACATGGTGCTGACCATCGGCGGCACCTCGGACTCCCAGAACCTGCGGGAGGAGCTCAAGAAAACCCGGCAGAAAGCCCAGGAGCTGGCGGTGGCCAATAGGAACAAGCTGACCACGGTCCTGAAGGACAAAACCGTGAGTAAGGAAGATAAAGCCGAGTTCGAGAGGCTATGGGTGATTTTCTCCACGTGCCTAGAGATCCTGGAGATCGACATGAGGAGAGCCCTGGAGCTGGGCCACGAGTTCCCGCTAAACGTCCCCAAAAAGCACCTCATCCAGACGGGAATGAGCGGGGGAACCTCTGGCGTGGCCGCCAGAGCCATGAGCGTCCAGAACATGAAATACGAGGCCGAGCGCAACATAGACGTGATGGATTTGAAAGACCTCGAGAACGAAATCAACCAGGTAGGAGAGATGATGTACGAGATGGAAATGAAGGTCAATGTCCCCCAGTGGACAGTGGAGGCTAAGCAAGACCCGGGGGCTGAACTAAAATCCACCATCAGCGTGGGCGCTTCTTCTATTGGCATGATCTCTGTGGAGGAAAATAAATCCTTCTGCGATATCAGCAAGGTTCTAGCTGGGATTGTGTTCTCTGCTGTGCTCATTATCGCCATTGTCCTGGCAGTGTGTGTGGTTAAACTGTCTTAGGGCGGTGCGAGCTCTGACATGAGCGACCCCCTCCAGGTCTGCTTGGAGTGTTTCATGCCTCACCTTTAATTTCAAAATGTGTCACTTGGATGAGGTGAGAATTTAAACGGAGCACTTGAAAGAACAAGGCAGAACTTTTCACCTCTCAATATCCTAAAATGCACGATTTGCTTCTTCATGCTTTTTGAAGAAAAGGGATGCAAATCAGCCTGCAGAGTAGGATGTCTTCATTTGCTGGACTTGTAACAGTTAACTGAAGTATCAGGGTATTATCACTACTGACTGTAACAGGGATTTGTCTGCTATTAATAGATCACTATTCTCAGAAGCCTGTATTTTTTGTTGTTTCACTAGGCTCTGGTGTTTGCTGCTGGTCACTGTTTACAGTATTGGAGAGTAACACAAACTTGGAGGTTAACACGGGTGTTTTGTCTGACCAAGTGGATAGAATACTTTTTTTTCCCCCATCAAATACACAAAATATTGTTTCAGTGGAAGAAAGGGGTAAGGATGAAAACCCCAGTAAAAGAATGTGACCAACCGCTGTTCTTGATAAGTGAATGGTTGGGGAGAGGGGAGAAAACAGAACAAGCAATGTTTGTTGATTTAGACTGGATTGTACAGAACCCAGTTGCATGAATTGGCACAGCCCATGTGAATGACTAATCGCTTTCCAAATCCAGAGAGAAAAACGGGAGAGCTGCGTGTTCAGAAAAATACTAGCAAGCCTTGTGGTTCTCATTCACATTTACCACAATTTTATCTTTCCCTGCAGAAAGGCCAATTCTTGCCGCTGGTTCGAATTTTTCTTTCTGTGGCAGCAGTTTGCACTTTACAATTAATTAACTGTGAAAACAGGAGAAATGAATGTACCCACAGCAGACACAGTAACATTTAAAAATAGATTTTAGCAAACAAAAATCAGATTCAGTTAAAGCAGACCTTTCCAACAGGATCCCCTCTCCTGTTGCGAGGCAGGGACTGATGCTGTATGGGTACTGTCACATTTCTGCAAGCTCCCAGATTCTTTGCAGAATGTGTCTCTTTGCTAAAAATGTGTCTCACTTTCATATCTCATTCATGTCTGATTAATCATCTGGGAAACAGGAAGCCTCTAGGATCCATTTGATACACTGCAATTTTGGGAAGTAAAGCAACAGCATAAAACTTCCCAGCACTTCCCTATAAAATTGTAAACGTTTAAATGTAAAGTTGGGGGGACAGACACTAACTTTGTAGAGAAGCTTCATAATGTTTTGTAGAAGGACTATGTGTTATGGTTATTTATTAGATAACTTATGGAAGTATCTTCTATTACTGTAAACACACACTATCCGTTCAGGAATGCTTGGTACATGCACTACAGTGCCATAGGTGTATGAGGCACTCCACAGCCAAATATAAAGATCCCATAATATTGGGGGTTTAATAAGTCATCCTTCGTTGTTTATTATGGACATATTATCAAAATAATAAATCAGACATGCTTTGTGAAGTTACTAGACAACAGTCTTCATGCTTGTTAAATAAAACTGACGACACTCATATAAACACCTAATATTTTTGAGTTAAGAATGAAACATACTTTGAAAAACTGCAGCAAACAGTTTATTCTTTAAAACTTAGGAGAACTGGATTTGGGAGAAAAAAGTGTATTTGAATCTGGTCACTTGTAGGTGAGAAAAAAATAGTAAGCAGAGGCCTGAATTAAAAGCTATAGACTATCCTTACGTTGAAGGATAATGTGAATTCTGCACACTTATCCATTCTAACTCCATTCTCTTGGGAATTCACAGTGTTACAAGACAACTCCACATTCCTTTCTGTTGTGTTTCACTCATTCCATTCATACATATAAAACATATGTAGTTAATCTATGTTCATAGAGATCCCTGACAGCTTTCTAACAAAGTCAAGTCTGTATTGGTGCTACAGCTCCAGCCTGCCTAGACAAGGTGTAATTCCTGTGTGTTCATTTAAATGAGATGATCTCCTTCACAATCACAGTGAGTAAACATATTTAAGGAAAATGCAGCAAAAGCTGCAAGAGAATGTACAGATTTGGATTGCCACCACTAGTCACTAAGGATCTGGGGTATTTTCACTCTTTTACTTAGTTCACAGGAAGGAGGATAAGCAG